TTCTCCATCCTGCCGCGTTTCGTGCCCGAGGCCGCGTGTGTGCTCGCGAGCGTGCTCGCCTTGGGGGACACGTGGGGCCGCGTGGCGCGCATATATTCGCGTGTAATATCGGTCGTCGTCGCGCGCGAAGCCGGCTCTCGCATAATCGATACGGGATTCATTTTGATCGCCGCGAGCCGCTTTGTTTCTTAGCGACGGCGCGGGCGCCGGCGGCAGCGAGTTCGCGCTGGACGCTCGCCGTGTTTCAGCGCGAAGGTTGCGCGCGCTCTATCCTGAGGCTCGCAGAGGGTCTCGCATATGTGCAACGTTCGTGTAATGACGTGATCCAGAAGGTTGGACGATAACGAACGAACGGCGTTACGTGGGTTTGTCTTTAGGCTTTGACAAACAGAGTCTGGAATTCGCGAGCGGTATTATATATCACGATGGTTCTTCAATCGTTCGTTTTATCCGTTGGAATTAGTTCTCACTTCACTTGCCATTAAGCGTAACTAATTGTAATTAATAACTTCGCCGTCGGTGTACATGCCCAAGTTTGCCGCGACTTAACGTTATTCCTTCCACGCGTCCAACCGGCGTGTTCCGCGAGCTGAAGTTGTCGATTTCACGCGATATGTTACGGAAATTTGACGCATGACTTATTCTTCGCGACGTGATATACTCAAAGCTGTTATGTGAGATACGTGCAAAATAAAATCCCCGCTACGTCTTACTTTAAATTTTGCTCACCATCGATCGCTACAACGTCGGTGGCGTCATCTGACACGCGAGCGCTCTAACGTACGAAACGTTCGAAACGTTTCGCTGTTGTGATATTATCCAAGGAGCGCTTTCACTCTTACAAACAGAAAAAGAGGAGATGTATAATTGGCTCAAAATTAGTGCAAATTGATTTTGAAGATGTTTTACAATGGCATCGAAAATTCATCGAAACCATGTTTTGAAGATAGTTCGACGAAGAACGTTCAAACGATCGCTTACTTATCGACCAACGACAAGATACGAGATAGTAATTAATAAGTGTATCTGTGCGCCGTGTTAATTATCAATAATATATGTATACCTGTTTTGCCAAACGATTTCATTCATTTTTTTCCAATGACTAATTAATTGCATGTCGACACGTCGACATTCGATGTGACAACTTCAACGCGCGGAGGATGTAAAAAAGATATAATTATTTTTATGATCTGCTCTTAACGTTATTAGAATATTAATTTAGACAATCTTGATATTAATTTACCAAATGTGTTTAGAAAGAAGCATGCATATTTGTAGGTATTTAGAAATTTAAATTTCATTCTCATGAATATTATCCTTTTTCGATTCTTTCTATCTTCACGCTTATGTATCTCTACACTTATGTTTACATTGAATGAAATATCATGTGGCTTATTTATGTAGACGAGCAAAACAGAATCCCTAGGATATTAGCTGTCATAAACAGATAAATTAATCATATGTACTCGCTAAAAAAACATCGACGAAAAACATGTCACGCTTGTTTACGACCTTGCCGAAATTGAGAAATATTCAAATACAGCGCGAAAGAAAACACGAAGAAGTCGGAGCAGCAGATTCGATATTCAACAGTATTGTCAAATATGAACGTATTATAGTACACATATATCAGCGTAATATATTCATCATATATTATCAGTGACTTTATGTTAAAAATAATAATCCGATAACATGACAGGTTATTTTTTTAACGACAATGGATATTAATAGATATGTATAAATAATATATCATCATGAAATATCATAGCCTGAATTAAGAAACCATTTAAACGAGGTGCTGGCTAACGATAAAATGTGTAGTAACATTATAATCGTTGCGGAATATTAGCCGCATAAATCTGGTCGATTACAAAGTAAATGACATGTAATGACATCGTAATGACATAATTAGCGACGTACAAATTGCGAAGAGCGGAAGACTAATGTGCGAAGATTATTTTAAATTTTTAGAGATGATATTATTATCTGATTGATGGAGAACGTCTCATATATTTCCACGTTATTTGCATAGACAGGAACAAACGTCTACGAAAAACCTGCGCATGTGTGTATGCGCGCATGCGTATGTATGTTTGCTTTATTGGCGTAAAAAGAGCTTAATATGAACCAGTTGGTATTTTTTTTTTTTTTTAAAGATTACATATTTTTGTATATCTGAGAGCCTACACGCATTTTATATCAAATAGAGATCAATTTATAATTAGCGTTGTATAATATATAAAATCGGCATTTGGTTTTTATTGTCCAGTGATTTTATATGCATGTTCATCTTCATATGCATATTTAATTTTAAATAAGGAAAACTTACGTGTACGTCATATTTTTAGTCTCTTCTTCGTAATATCACAAAGATATTGTATTTTATTCAATTGCTAGTCAATTTTACGACAGGGTCGTAAAAAATTTACGATTACGCATTTATTATAATATCAATCCGTTACACGCCGCGCAAACACACGCACACACACGCGCGCGCGTATCCTAAATCTGGATTATTTTCACGTTTTATCAGATACTTGGCCAAGACTCATAAATTATGAAAACAATGCTGCAATAAAATCAATAATAAATCGCTTTCCAATAAAACGTGACGTTTCTAGAAACATTTACTGTTCTTTATTATGTATTGCTATTAAAACAATTGTCAGCTTTTAAATTTTATGACAGATACTACAAAGTTTTATCTGTTCACTTTTGAGGTCAAAACCAATGAAGAATTTGCTGTCGATTAATTCTTCAGCCTTCAAATTTATCGGTGTCGAACCAGCGATGTCGAAACTAGCAGCGACAGCGATTATGCGACAACGACGCCGATGCACTCAATACATGATCATCGCAAAAGTGGTTCAACGTGATTTTGATGCACAGGTGAAAGTCCACACCGTGATCGGTTCGAACATTCATCGAACCAAATCAAATGTTCGCCCGATCGATTCGCATTCACTCGTTGGACAAGCGTCTAATCACGGCCCCCTTCTTTGATTATTTGAACGCCGTCGACGACAAGGTGAACTTGTCATATCATTATACATGTATATTTCAACATGCGTGCAATGAAATGTTGGTCTTCTAATGTTGCAATTAAAAAGAATGCATCAGGAATTTTGCAAAAAACTATTAATAGTACTACTAATAGTGCTACTAATAGTACTTTAATACTAATTAATATTTTAGTTTTGTTCTTTTCTCTTTGTCGTAAGTGATTTAGATCCTTTTAAACGAAATCTTATCACAATATACACGCCTTTTGTATACGACGAATAAAATACAAAAGAAATATTCGAAGAGAAAGAGAAACTGGTAAAGAGCGAAGTAATCGCTGCCAAAAAAATACCGAGAACGCGTTTCGTGATACCTTCTCTCAATACTAAATAGAAATTAGAAAGGAGTTGGAAGAAAACGACTTGTGTGTGTGTGTGTGTGTGTGTGTGTGTGTATATAATCGAAAGTTTTGTCATTTCGAAGGATTTGTCGAAAAAATTATAAGAGGGTTAATAAAAAAATATGAATAATCGCAACTCAGCGGCGATGACATCGGTGTAAGATGGTCGATGCGTAATAACATCGCAAAGAAATCCAGTTTTCGCATTGAGCCAACGCGGCAAGGTAACGTGCGTCATTGCGGTCACGTACGAGGGACAAAATGTGGTTGGCTGATTACAATCTAGCGCTTGTTTTTACGATAAGTTATCTTAATTGCCACTGTATGTTACGATTCACGACGTTAAGCGGTCGACGCATCGGCTCGGCCAAGAAGGATAACTACGTGTTTTCTCTGCACGAGCAACGTCGATGATTACTCCGTCGTGCTCGCCTCAGCAGCGGCCGCGATTCAGAAAAAGTAAAATTGCATCCCGAGTTGGATGCACAAACGCAAGAAAGGCACTCAATCTTGGGGTCGACGAACGTACGCGTTTCTCTACGAAGAAAAAGATGGAGAGAGAGAGAGAGAGAGAGAGAGAGAGAGAGAGAGAGAGAGAGAGAGAGAGAGAGAGAAGAATAGAGAAGGAAAGATACACCTTGTCCTTTCGCGAGCGTTATTTTACCCCTTTCGAGCGTGTTCTCGCGATCGGTCGCCATTGTCCATAAGATCACGATAACATGTCCTGCAAAGTATTTATTCACGCTATGCGTCTCCGCTTAACTTGTTACAACTCGAGCTTTGTATTTCGATGATATTCGAATCTCCTCGTCATGCTTATCTCCAAATGTGTCATCGAAGCCACGCTACAAACGGAATGAACGATGCAATCGTGGTCGAGCGGTGTAAACGTCGCGCGACTGAAACCATAATTTGAGCCGAGCTGGAATGACATTTTTCGCAAATACACGCAAATTGCTGTGATATTCGCATAACTGGTGCTCCCGATAAACGTGTAACTGATCGACGACAGGTGAACGAGGATTTCGAATCGAACGTATTCTCTCCCTTTTCTGTTACTAAGAACGACGGAAGAAGCTCATTCATTAGGGACTGGCGCACCAAATGAATAATTAATAAAAGAGATATGGCTAAAAGTTCGACCAACTTATGCAAGCTCCTAACATTTTAGCGACTCGTGTGTCCGAGTCCCTGTTACTTTCGTAGTAGTATTTGTTGCACTTTTCAGATACCGCTCGAATACGTCGACGGAGAGTGCCTCTTATTCTTTGCTGAATCCACTGAATCGTCAGCGCGAAATTTATTCGACGTACTTAACTGGCTTCTCGTAATGCAGTAACGTTCCATGCGGAAGCCTTAGAACGACGAGTCATACATTGCGTTCGCACACGTGCACAATTAAAGAACCGACGCGCGTGCGCCCGATGTGTGTAATATGGTCATCCCGTACGAGTATACGAAGCTGTACGGTCAGTGCTTCCCATTGCAACGTGTTAGTAAGGCGGTTACAAGACCGCAAGACTGCCAACTTACGTAAAGATCAGATTAGATCGGTCGATACCGATATTATTCAAGTAATAAAGGATATAACGGGTCGAGTTCCTCCTACGATCGTATCTACGTCTAGTTATCTACAAAAATATACGACTTCACAGGTAAAATCGTAGAAAAAAATTATCGCGGGACGAAATTATCGCGCACGAGGAGAAATATTATTATATTATTGTGCGCGCACATAGGCACGCGAGGAAAGCCAAATTCAATCTGTGCAACCGATTTTGCGACAATGCGATTTTTTGTCGTTTGACGATCAGACAAGAACCGACTGTGAACGAGCAGAGGAATTCCCGTCGGAGATTTATCGTATCATATCAGCCGAGTTTCAACACAGCTGCATGATCAGACGAATGTCTGCGATTACGGTAACGGAGATACCGTAAGCGGTTTCTCGCCGCTGAATTTTCATCTTATCTACATTCTGTCACGTGGACTGTGGCCTCCGCCGTGCGAAAATTCTGATTACACACGGAGAAGATCGATCGAGTGAACGTGACAGTAGACAAACTAAACACCAAGAACGAACGACTGCTCGAAGAAAAACGAAAAATCCGCTTCTTATGAATCAAATTCGATCTCGATTCCAAGGCAACCAGTTTGGCTGGATTACCGTCACCGCGTGATTCACCTGATGCTCATCCTCCGCATACACAAAGAATCGTTATAACCGCGAGTCAAGGTGACAGACTAGATGAAGTTTTATCCTCTCGAAGGATTCGAAAGTAAGTCCGAGGGACTCTCAAAGGGACAAGACGCAGCAGCGTCAACAGATTCATGCATCCCATTCTCCGACGAATCAAGTTCTCGACTATAAATATACGTTCCCGTCAGCCCGATCCATCCGTTCTCCTTCCCTCCCGCGGCAGGTTTTCCCCCTAGACCCATCATCGGATATCGACATTCACCGGGATTCCTAAGTCCCGCACGAGAGGAACGGCCGGCCGTGGATATCGTATCGCGAGACAGCGATCATCACCAGGTAGGCGAACCACCGTCCGCCGCTCGCTCCCACCTCCGACCCGACTCGACTCGGCTCGGCTCGTCGGCCACTTATCCCCTCGAAATAGCCTGTGTTCCTTCCTCTCATCCTTTTTAGCCGCATTTTTCCTGTTTGCGATGAGAACGCCACATGATAACCGGACGAACGAAGGGAAAGTTGCTCCTCCGTCCCTCCGCGGCGGCGGTACCGACCTGCCTCGGGCCAGCGACGGTCGCCGTGGCCAACCAGATCGTGAGATTCGGTCGCGCAGGGTGTCGCGCGCGCGTTGCAAGGTGAACGAGTCGCGGCTGGCTGCAGCCTCGGATACATCTCGTGCGTGTGGAGCGAGTGAGTGAGTGAGTGAACGCGCGCACGAAAGAGACAGAGGTGCACCTCCTTGTCTGAAACGCTCAACTGGGCTCATTCGTCGGCCGTGAGTATCAGCCGCGAGATACATCACGGTGGACCGTGCAGATCGAATGGAGATTCTCGTCGGTGCCGTCATCTCCCTCACTAACGTTATCCTCCTCTGGCGAGACCGTTATCCCTGTTAAACGTCGTCCGCGTGATATCGGCCAACAGGAAGTGCCCGGGACGCGGATGGTGCGTACAGACGAGATAAGCGCGGCTTCACCGGCGATGCAGAAAAGCCCAGCGGGCGACTGTTGAAAGGTGCGAGCGATCATTACTACGCGGCGAGTCGAGCTATTGCTTGCTTGCTTGCGTTGCTCTCGGCGACGACGCGGCGATCGGCGAGCGAACGCGAACGCAAAAAAAGAGGAAGAAAAAGAAGAAAAAGAGGGAAGAAGAAGAAGAAGAAGAAGAAGAAGTAGTAGAAGTGGAATCCAAGACTCCTGCTTGCGTCCAGCCATTCGCCGTGATTTCCACCAAGGGATCGGCCGTGCGGTGTGCAAACGCTCGGAGATCGATTCCTCGCGGACGGACGGACGCGCGCGCGTTTAACGGGAATGCGGACGCAGGAAGTGCAGCAGTTCGACCGCGACTTGCAACGCGCGCAGCTCGGAGAAAGGCGCAGACCGGTGACGGGATTAGGCGAAAATTCCGGTTGGGTTCGTTAGACTCTGTCTATCTCTCTCCTTTCTCTCTCTCTCTCTCTCTCTCTCTCTCTCTCTCTCTCTCTCTCTCTCTCTCTCTCTCTCTTGCTGTCCCTCTCGAGGGCTGCGGCGAATTTGCTGAGGCGAACGAGAGAACGTGCAAGCAGCGGGTGGTGTGCGCGGTGCGCGAAGTGGAGTGCACGTCGATCGCGGAGACTTCAACGCGTGTACGACGCGCGCCTCGCGTGGCCTCGTCGATACACGACACGTGTCTATGAATAAAGTGGAGTTCACGTCTAATTTCTAAGCGACCAGCGGAGCCAGCGCGAGAAGGTAAGTAAGAAGCCGAACACACGCGGAAAACTTCTTAAGCAGTAAGACGTAAGCAAATGAACCAGTTGTATATTTTGGGGCCGTAAGAAGAATAATCGATTTTCAGTCAATTTCCTTCTTGCCTCAGTTTTTCTACGTGTCCAGACCCCAAAGCCTTGCGAGATACGCTGATGTCGGCTGCATCAGCCACTTTCCATCACGCATACTTTTTGGAATCAGCCGAAGAACCGGCCGAAACAAATTAAATATTCTGCTTAGCTCGATACGGAGCTGCCGGTGTTATTTGCTAAATTTTCATCGAAACGTCACGCGTATTACGTCAATTGCCTTCAGTTGTAAGCTGTCAGCGAACGGACGGTTCTCGGGCAGCCAAGAAGATTGCGTCTGCTAAATTACTTGCAGTAATACGAGAGCGGCCTGCGAGAGCTCGGATAATCTCGCGCGAAATGAAATTCAGAAAGCGCTCTCGGCGGTATTGATGTTGCTTCGGAAGCACACATTTCTTGACATTTGTCTGGACAAACATACTTAAGCCACCTTACAAAAGTACACGAGTCTTATTTGCGCCCGTAAAAGAGCGTCATATTTTTCATTTCTGTAAACCTGCCGGAGTAAAATTACTGCCGCTATATTTCTCTCTTGCAAATTAACACAAGCGTGCGTGAAGCAATTCGACGTAATGACAACGAAGTTACGTTCGAGTTGTCGGTACAATATTTGATGAGTCTACGTTTCAAGACTTATAAATATAAATAAATAATATTTTATGAGCAAATTATAGCGAAATCCTGAATCATTCTTTTCTTGCCACGTCAGAACGTGCTTCGTTTACAGCACTCTTCGCTCGAACGTCCCTCGGTATTTGCCAAATAAAATAGTCAACATGTGTGCGATAAAAGAACTCACGCAAAAAGTCACGCGTAATAATATTTCATCAATATAGATCGGCCGTAACTTTCGTCGCATATGCGACTTTTCCGACTTGCGTGTTTGTCTCGTCAGAATTTACAACTCGGGTGTCACGCGTGCATGCTTCCATGCAAAGTAACGGAATGCACGCAATGTGCTTCGTCTCGCGTGATTCGATCTACCGATGCGCATGACATCGCGGCTAACGGACACGCACACAGTCATAGCTTGTTCGAAACTTCATTTTTACTCCGTTTAATCTTCTACCTAATTGCATCGGAAATCAAAACCGTCACAACGAAAATCCCCCGTCGCGAACGGTATTTCTTTTCTTTCTCATTGTAAATCCTTCAGTCTTTCAAAATGTTATGTTCCTCTTAAGCAGCTCCATGCCTTTTCCATATGACGTACCACCTTATTGTGCAAGACAATGGCGAAACGAATTTCGAGGAAATAATTAATTGCCATCTGTGTAACTGCTGCCAGTCATAGTTGCTTTTATAGCTTCTTGTCGGGTTCTTGTTCAGTCGTGATCTTCCAGGAAATTTTTGTTTTTCTTCATCGTAAAAACGATGCAATGGCAGCGAAAGGAAAATGAAAAGAACAAACATTGCGATATTTCCCGGTATCCGCGATTTATTTAAACAACGCGACGTTATATTGTTGCTGGAAGCCGTCGTAACGCCCGACATTTTATGACGTGCTTCGATAAATAGCCAACTCGACACGTGTCTACTTCTGTATCGTCATTAGCGGTGACGGAATTACTATGATGTTACTACCATCAACTGTTCTCCCACTGCTGCGGATAGCAATAACAACGCGTTGTAATCTGGCGTGAATTTCCGCGTTCGTGTAGGTAATCGCGTTCTTCATGAAAGAAAGCAGTTGGGCAATCGTATCTGCAACTAATTGACGCGTTTAAAATGTACACGCGTTATGACGTAAAGAGCGGGCTTTCCCGCGGTTAAACGCTCGAAAGTTATTTACGCAACCGGTTAGGGAATGCTAATTCACGTACAAACTTAGAGACATTGGGATAGATCAAAAAGCCTGTGAAGGAAGAAATGCAGGAGTCTGGTTGCAGCAGAAATTTAGAAAGGCTATTTAGAACCGCTCTCTCGAGCGGTTTAAATCGATCAAAGATATATTACCAAACAAAGAACATATTGCATAAAAATTTCTACAATTTACGACTTTGAGTGCTTTGAGTCTTGTCAAAATTTTGCGCATATTTTTTTACAATAATTCAAAGCTGGGATCTTGGGTTGTTTTTTACTTATTTCTTTAACTCGATGTTTGAATTGAGTTGGAAACTTTCGGAGAGTTCCGGGTCTATTTTTATATGTTTAATTGTTTAATATATATATATGTGTGTGTGTGTGTGTGTGTGTGTGTGTGTATGTGTGGGTGTATGTAGGTGTGTGCAAATATAGCTCGCGATAGCGTCTCCTCTTATTTCCTTACGTCACTCAGAAAAACGACAAACGATCGGCTAAAACACACTCCATTAACACGCATGTGAAACCAGTTTTGCCATTCTCTCGCGCACAATGAGATATCGCAAAAAGGCACAGTGCTTAAAAAGCACATCATCCAGCTTGTTGGGATGGTCAGAGCGAAATAGAACCGGCGTGGAATCATTCGTTCTAGACGAGTTTATTCGCGATATCTAATTTCTCAGCGCGATTACGCAACGCACTGTTACGCTCGCTGATTTATTTATGCCGTGAGGATCCTTCGAGGGAATAATCAGCGGCGCTTATTATGACGTTACTAGCTCCCGTTGCGGTTGAAATCATCGGGTTCACGGTCCATTGAAGAATGTCGCTCACAAGGCTGTACCAATACGCACTCGGATGTGAGATGGACACAACGAGTACTTTCTCTTGACGCTTTCTCCAGGGCCCGCGCTACGCGATCGCGGAGATTACCCGTGTGTGTCGACGTCCGAATCTCGCGAATATTTATGATCATAGAAAGTCGCAGTCGCGTGTTCTATAATATTACGAAACGCGTAAGAGCGGCTCGTTAGGTAAACTTTTCCGCGATGCGCAATACGCAGACCTCCACGCGAGATCTTCACGAACGTCACCGCGTCCGATCTGCTTCTCGGCGTGTCGCTAATGCCTTCGACTAGTCGGACGGATTGCTTACAAATGAGCTGCTAGAAATCATGTTTTTATTATTTGATAATCTCACGAGGATTCTTGCCGTGAGAAAAGGCGTTATTTCTTCCGACACTTCAAACACATCACTAAATTCATTCCCTCTCCTAACTTTTCATTCTCAGTAGGACGAATGTTCCTAACGATGGAAAAACCTATCGGCAAATATTATTATTTACGGAAGTTCATTTAACAATATGATCGGATAACGAAAGCTTTGTTTCTAAATAAAACGAACGAACGGAAAAGTCCAAACGAAGCTACGATTCTCACGGTAAAATTTCTTTTCACAGGGACATGCCTGCGTTGAAGCTCTTCGGGCGAAAATGGTTGGCCGCAACCGACGATCTCGTGTACCCCGGCATGTTCGAATTATTTATCCGCGTTGTATGGTGAGTGTCGCCGAGGAATCCGCAATTATCGTACACGATATTAGTCGCGGCAACGGTGGCATGTATGAGTCGATAATAAATTCAAATTATCCCCCAAATCTGATATTTTTCAGTTCTTTTTCTACAGATCACAATTATGCGAAACGTAATATATTTTCCTTTCTTTCAAGCAAATCTAATCTGGTAATCAAATAACCGAGTTCTTCCCTGCATCAGTCAGCATGACAGTTTGTTGAAGCGCGACCGAGACGGATCACCGTTAGCGTTTGCTTCTCGTAATAGGATGCGTATTTTGCAGGTTAATTCTCATAGGAGTTGCCTGCACGAGGTACTACGAGAGCACGTGGAATTGTCAGTCAGGAGGTGACTTGGTGCGCGTATATCTCATAGGAGAATTGGCCATGCTCAGTATCGTCACGCTTTTGATACTGGTCATCATCAGGCAAAGCGCGAAAGGGACCATCATGGACACGCATGCTCGACGTTGCGTCGAATCGCTACTGATAATCAAGTGAGCGATATAAGCAAACGAGTATCCCGTCAATCAACTTTCTAGAGTAACCAATAACTTTTATACAAGGCTCTTGTAGAAAGAGTTATATACCATCCCTCCTCTCTCGCTCACCCATCTTTCTCTTTTATCATATGAAATGTGGATAACGATTTGTTCCGCTCATAAAGTATCACGAAATCTTAATAAAGCACAAAATGCAAAAAGAGAAAGCAAATGGCAGGAGAATAGCAGTTTAACAGAAACACTTAAGATTCGAGTACGTTTACCGTATGTACTGTGCGAATATACCATAATTATATGCACTTGATCGTATCGATTGAAAGCATCGATTTCGATTCTCGGCAATAATCATTCTCGTTTGAACGAATTATTCAAATCATCCGCTTATTTGGCATAAATTATTCAAACATTTCTGAATTTCAAACCATGTTTTCAGTTATATAACACTCGTGAGATATCAGCGTGATTTTGCAATTATTTGCATCGTGTCAGATAATGCATTAAACGTTGGAGCATTTTATGTGTTTCACAACCACGTGTTATGTATAAAAAGGCACGATATGAAGATCGTGATGCTTTCGATAAGATCCACGCGAAAAAGTAAAATGGAAGAAGAACAAGAAGCAAATATACGTGCGAAAAAAAAGTAAACATACCACTCTTCGCGAACAGCTACGAAAATGGAATATTTGTTTCGTTTTATGACGAATATTATTTATATACGCAACACACGCACGTATATTAATATATTAAATTCAATAATAATTAATTTTTAATCCGCAATATATTTTAATGTCACTCATTCACGGCGCGAATCGTGCGCGAAAAGTAAATTAAAAATAAATCGCGTCAGTCTCAGAATCTACCACGCAAACTGTGTAGTCACCAGTACCGTGAAATTTTTATTATACGATTGTGTATATCGCGACGTATCATATCGCATAGAGGTAATATTTCTGGATAGAAATAAATATCGAAAAATATGAAGGCGTAAAATAACTGCTCCACATAAAAATACACGAGCGAAATAATCGCACTGATATCGACGAAAAATAAAATCCACCATCTTAAATATTTATTCCCACTTATTGTCACTCACCGAATCGCCTCGAAGTCATGGTCGGTCACACTCTGCTCCACGTAGATCTGTAACAATAACAGAAATTGCTATTTAGATCTTAGGATTCAGCTTATAATCCTTTCGGGTCGAGCGTCGACTATAGTCAACGGCCGGATATTAATCAAATTGCAGAAACGTAACAGATTATCGATAAAAATTATGAAATCCCACTGTATTGTGAGAATATTTGTTCGCGATTATTAAATCCATTGCAAATCGCAGGAATAATAATATTCGATATTTTAACAACTATAAAATGTATAATTAAAGCACCTTATGAAATTTTATTTAAGTAAAAGAAATGCGCAAAATATGTCAATAATAAGACATCGCTGTGTAGCCTATATCAAATCGTCTTTTACGATTTGATATTATTAACAATGCAATCACAATTATTTAATTCTTTTTAATTAGTACGAATAATACTCGGGACGCTATTGTGAGTCTCAGTGAAAATTGAAAGCCTTCTTTGATGCAATCAGGATATCGATGTTACTGCCGGAGATCGGTTGGAACGTCCTGGGCAGCCTGTGGATTTTCGGACAGAGCGTGGAGTGCGAGCACGAGCACTATTCCATCACCGTCGTGGAGGCTCTGGTACTTTTCGACTGGATCCTGATCGGTCTCAGCATCTTCGGTCTCGCTCTGGTATTCGACCCGATCGGTTCTCTGGAGAACAAACAGCTGGAGAGCTCTGTGGAGCATGGCAAGCACTCGCGCATCTGGTTACGGCGATTCAGGTTCCTATGGTGGATGCGCAAGGATGAAAGCGCGAGCGAAACCTTTCAACATGTCGCTGGTGAGACATAGGTACGGCTAAATTACGAAGAGGTCCTGCTGCAATCGAAATTGGAACGTGGACGACGTGTTCCAATCGAAAAACCGAGCGCAAGAAGCTGCCGGGAATATCCGGACGATAAATAATAAGTTCGCTATCCTCGTTCTGGTTTTGACCGCTGGTGGGACTTTCTTCATGACGTGTATCGCTCTCTCGCCGTGCGAGGAAGCAGCGATCACGCGATCGCTTCGTGATATTCGCAGTATATGAATTGGGATGAATGAATTTCGAGCGAAATCGCGAAATCGCCGTTCGAAAGAACGGCTCAAGCTTCCTCTCAAACAGTCTCAACACTTCGTGTCGTCGCAATGTTATGGAATATATTGTCATGAAACAATCCTCTCACTACTTTCACTACCCTCGATATATCATTGTGGTATTAGTTAAATAATAAAATTAAATTAATTTATAAGAAAGAAAAAAGTTATGTCCTTTGTTTTTTTGAAAAATCTTCAAGAGAGAAAGAAAAAAAAGTGATGAAATATATATCAAACTTTACAAATATCTAATACCAGTGGAAAAAATTCAAAGACTAACATTGGATCCAACGAAGCCTGACGGTACATCGAGGGTCGAGAGTAAAACGCTTTCTTAACGATTTAACTTTAAACTCGCAGGTCTTCTAACCGCATTATTCCGAGGTACGGACTTGGTGCCCTCGGACGTAATGGCGGGTTGCATCCTGCTCAGAGTCCGTCAGAAACGTGAAACTCACGAATTACGAAGGCTGAATTTAATCCCGCGACCAAATTACACTTCAGGTACGTCATTCGTATGTTAATCGCCGGGGAAAAGTCGAAGAATGGCATTTATCGAGTAAGCTTCGGCCTTTAATTGTCAAATATTTGCCATCTGGACTTTACAGACAGCAGCGCAATTTTTTCCAACACACCCAACTGGATGTCCTTGGAGGCAGCCCATCATTTTCTACAATTGTCAATCGCCGCCTACGGCTGGCTTTTCGTAATATACCAGCATACGTGTACCGGATGTTTCCGTTTAATACGAGGCATGACATGCTGTTCTTGTTTTCGGTAAATAAAAAAAAAGTACTAAAAATAACCAATACTTTTTAACTTAAAATTAAATTGGAGTCGAATAGAATTAAAATTAAAATAAAAAAAATACAGACTGTAGTGTCTACGTAATCGTCTATGTATAGTCACTTTGTATATTGCTCATGATTAGCTTATATAACTGTATAACTATATTTTTTATATTGTTCATAATTAAGTTCTATCGTTCGCTTTTGTTTCGTTTCTTTCTCTCTTAGACGAAAGAGCAACGTTATTCTCGACGACAATTGCTGCTTCTGTTATCTCTCCGGCGTGAAATATTTATCGAAGTTATCGGAGGAGGACATTCTGTTCGCCTCTTTCAAGAATCACTTGTGCGAGGTTGGTTGGATTCTAAATCGTAGCTTCTAAATCGCGATTTCCCTGCGTTCACGCCCAATATTAAATATTACATTCTCAGAAATTTCTCGTAGATACCGTTTTGCGTAATCGCGGATCACAAGACCGCCAACATCGTCGTGGCTATACGGGGGTCATTATCCTTACGGGACTTAATTACTGACATCGCAGCCGCGTCCGATTCGTTCGAGTGTCCAGGTCTTCCCTCAGGTAGCACGGTTAGTACGCAAACAGCTATCTCGTTTTGCTCGCCGCGCGTGTGCAACGTAACAATGTAATAACGACTTCGTTCACGGTATGGAGTATAATTTTGCAGGCGCACAAAGGTATGGTGATAGGAGTAAAAATAATATTAAAGCAACTCAAACACCATAAAGTCTTGGAGAGAGCGTTCGCCACATATCCCAATTACCATCTGACGATCACTGGTGAGTACTTTTACTTGCGCGCTCGTGCTAAATCGCCGTTAGCAAATAGCTGTAAATTCTGTAATAAAGTAACACGCTTTTGTAGGTCATAGTTTAGGAGCCGGTTTAGCCATTCTGCTAGGGTTACTAATACGGCCCCGTTACCCGGACCTGAGAGTCTACGCGTTTGCTACACCAGGTAATTGCACACGCGCGTTTACGCTAAATTTATTCTGGTAATATATAACAATTTCGCCGGCTTAGAGAATGCGTTAATTACCGTGAGTTATTAAATGTATTGCCGGCTCTATTGGTAGAACAGGAAGATTTTTACAATTGTTTCAATGATTTGTAATTATTCGCAAAGCTGGGCTGCTAAGCAGAGACGCTGCTAAGGTCACGGAAGAGTTCGTGTTGACCGTGGGACTCGGTGATGACCTTGTAATGAGGCTCAGTGTGCACAGTATAGAGAATTTAAGAACATCATTATTGACAACACTGCGAGCCTGTCGACTACCCAAGGTATTAAAATAGAAAAAAATCATCTAACAAGGAAAAACACAAACGATATGTCCCTCCGATTATATGATACGCTATTAACATGTCGTAGTTTCGATCGCAAAGTGCGAGACACGTATTCTTTCATAAATGTTCAATCGCAAGTTTGAAGAAGGACTAATATTACATGTAATATATATTAGATTTATTTCAATATAAAAAATTAAATATATGTTTATATATTAAATATTAGTTTTTCGAAAGTCTTTTTATATCTTTGAACAAACATTCATCAAGAGATTGATATGTTCGAAATACCTTCAGACGTATCTTCAAGAAATATCTCACTATCTAAACTTGCGATTGAACACTAAAAAAAATACATGACAATTATTTTAAATTATACAATATGTGGAATATATCATAAAAATTAGTAAGGAATATTAATATGGATTTTTCGATAAATGATTAGATCGAGCTGTTTCTATATAATTTTTCTTATGTCTTTAGTACAGAGTAGTTCTGAACGGATTTGGATACGCTCTGTTTGGAGTACCCGAAAGAGACTTGACAAAAACGTGGGATAATTGTAATATAATCAGCACAATTCCAAGTCAATCCCCTTTACTCACTGAATTCGGGTTAGCAAGAGACGAGGTAAGATTAAACTGATGCATTTACAAAAATATAGATATATATAAATAAAGAAGGTAAAAAAAAAACAAATGGTGAAGCATTCGTGAGACACCTGAATATAGAGGATAAATTATAAACATGCATATGTTCTTTTGTTAAATTCTACATATGCATATATACAACTTATCGCAGGAAAACAAAATAGTAGAACGTGACATTACAAAAAGAAGATATTCAAGAGAGAGGCTGTTTAATGCTGGTCGTATACTTCATATAACGAGGTGCAAGCTCGAGAAAACAGAGAAAAAGAAGTAAGTTATTTTCGCACATTTTTACTTATTAGTATAATTAATTACAGTATGAGAGAAGTCAAAATAATATAATTTTCGCAATATTTCCGTACAGCAAGAAAGAACACGCGAAAGGAAGAAAATACGAGATGCGATGGGCACAGGCGGAAGAGTTCACGAAATTGTCAGTGATGCCGCGCATGCTCTTGGATCATCTGCCAGAAAATATAGAACGAGCTCTAGCCACGTTATTAGAGCAACAAAATGACATACCTTATTATTTCGATCCTTAGTGTAATCCAAAGAAATTATTTTAGAACTTTAATAAAAAGAAATTTTTGCAAAAACCCAAACCCATTTGTCTAAAAACTTCCTCCCTAAAATTTATTTTTCCCGGTGCATTCTAAATAAATGTTAATAATATCAAAATATATACCCTCATGTATGCAGACATAGAAAAGTTTCCAAACAAAGAATTGATCAAATGATTCAATCAACCTCATTTTTCCACAGAAATATATAAAATAATTATTATTACTAATATTATCAAAATTTTTATTAGATACTATATATTCCAAAACAAAAATATCTTTCTTCATGTTAAGTATAACATGTGTACAAATTTATCATTATCATAAAATTTGATTTTATATTTCTATAAAGAATGATATTTGATACGCACATGTACATAAAAACAGATTCATAATAATATATAGAGAAAACAATTATATGCGTGTCATTAAACGTAATGTAAATCCGCGCGCAATCCTATATTTCTGAACACGCAATTTAGATGCAGCATGGATATGAACCTACAGAAAATGAGCGTAGCATGGATATGTACTAACCGAAGATTATCGGCACTTGAAAATGAGGCTAGTGAATACAGTTCTAGATCAGAAATGGATGCAGATGGCGTATCAAACAGTCCTGAAAATCGATGTCAACCAAAACGACACGATAGTAGTTTTTAGACTTCTCTCTGATAATATACTCGAATGCAGTAAAATGTAAGGTCCGTTCTTTTTCGAAGAACTTCTGAATTAGTGCACACTAGTGCAATAAGCTGGAATATGGGAAAATATATCTGTTTCACTCCAACTTATTGCACTAGTTCAAAAATCCTTCGAAAAAGAATATACCCGTGATCTTTCCTTTTTCGAAGAATTTTCTGAACTTAGTGCGACAAACTAGAGAGAAACAAAACATATTTGATTACTCTAAAGCCCATATTAGACTATGGATTGGGATTGAGATTGGATTGAAATTTGACCAATTGGAAAAAAAAATAATCTCAAATATAGTAAACTTAGCCCTGATTGATTAAACTTCAATCTAATACTCAATTCCAATCCGTAGTCTGATACGCGCTTAACTTATTGCATCAGCATACACAAGTTCAAGCAGTTCTTCAGAATTAGTCAATTTCCAATTTTGGCGCAATTTTTACATGAATGTTTCTAGTTAAAACGAGGGGTCTCTTCTTTATAGCTGCATTGCTGAACTAGTGCAATAAGTTAAAATAGGTCGTTTTGTGTGCACTGCTGAACTGGTGCAACAAGTTACAGTGAGGAAACCTACGTTTGTCTCACTTTTGGTCTGTTCTTTGTAGCTGCACTGTTGAACTGGTGCAATAAGTTAAAATGAGACAAATATAGGTTTTCTCATTCTAGCTTATTGCACTAGTACAGCAGTGCAGCTACAAAGAACAGACCATAAAACTTATTGCACCAGTTCAGCAGTGCAGACAAAATGAATAGGCCTATTGAGACAACTATATTTTTTCTCACTCTAACTTATTGCACTAGTTCAGCAGTGCAGCTGTAAAGAACAGACCCAAGGTAAGTATCTTTTGGACTTGCTCCACTAGATTTATTTCGAATGCAATAGTTGGCTATACAAATTATTAGGTTTGTAAGCATGCGCGACTAAGAAAATTTTGATTTTCCCTTCTGTCATTTTATCCACGATTATAGCCAGAGCCACCCTGACGGCCTGACTATAGCTCATGGAGCACATGTAGCCTGTGAATAAAATATGTTTAAGAAACAATTTGAATGAAATTTGTGAAATAGTACGTGTTTAAAATATCAATAGTTGTACATATAGTCATCATCAGAAGTGATAGATATTAAATGAAGTAAAATTTATATTTATCAAAGTGAGTAACCCAATATATTTTCATTTTTACACATGTGTAACCTCTTTTTACATTTTCATTTAGTATTTTACCGTATGTGTTTTATTTATTTCAACTAAAATTTTTTACGTTATTGCCAATGCAATGTTGATTCGGAACATACAATTGAGATAAATTTATTATTTTTATGACTTGATTGTAGATTTGTATCAATTAAATTTTTTTATCAACATTAATTAGCATTTTACTAGATAAATCTATTGTCAAAAGATCAATAAAAATTAGTAATTTTTTTCATATCATATATTCTAAACAGATGTCTGTAGCATCCTCAAGAGTCAGTAGTTTATCAACTATACTAAAAAGTATCCCACAAACTACTAATCAATCCAACAGAGTATACTATAGACTTCCAAAAGATTTCAAAAATATATTATATGGTTACAAATTTGAAACAAAAAAAGAATATGAAAGGATGATAAGTACACTTCGAGAAGGTGTTATAAAGGTGAGAAAATACAGATAAAATATAGAACATTCATGTACAAATAATCTTTTTTAAGTCCTAAGCAAAAGTTATATATATGCACAAAAATTAATGAATTGTATATTAGACTATATATTGAAAATGTTCTCTTTGTTCTTTAGGATAGTGATTTAGCAAATTTTTTAGATGAAACAAGGCAATATATAACCTTATTAGATCGTGAACATAAAATATTTGTTCAAATTCTTCTTGAAATTAAATGGACAGATAAGTCACCAGATTTTATTTCTGCCTATAAATCTTTTGTAGAAGATTTAGTCTGTGCAAGAGTTGAATATGCTAGAAGTGTATTTGATTATTTAGTTAAATTATTCAAACCAGGTAAATTTTATATCTATTAATAATATTACTTTAAAGTGTATGATATATGTGATATTTAACATATTTGTGCAATCATTATCTTAGTTGGTGAAGATAATCGAGAACACAAGACTAAAGAACTCACACTTCAAGATACAGAAAGGCTAAATCATATTCATGATATGTTGAAGAAGATTTTGAAAGTGGTACCAATGTAAGATACAATGGATATATATGCATGTATAGCATGTATGCATTTTGTGTTAATATGTGTGTGTATATACATATACACACACATAGAAAGAAAGAGATGTACTTATATATATGTTTGTTATTATAAAATATATAACTGTATTGATATAAATTTTTGCAGGTCACGAAAATGTTTACTATACAGCATTGAATCAGAATATCCTTATATTACACATAGTACTTATATACATGAAGTTTATGTACATGCATTATTAAGTATAACACATTATGCACCTTATCTAAAATCAGATATCATATTCATAGTTATCAATGGGTAAAAAAAATGTCTAAACTTTATTCCTAAATAGCTAGAAACAACTTAGATATACATCAATAGAATAACTTGTATTCTTTTTATGTTTTAGTTTGGCATCATTAGATGTTAACATAACTAAAAATAAAACAAAAGATTATGAAGATTTATGTGACATGATAGATTCTGACAGTGATAACTTGGCTACAGCAGACAATCATGAAGATAAAACAGAACATGTGCAATTAATTGAGCATACACTGGATGTGTGTATGGACATATTTTTGGAATTTATGCACAAGTTTTGCTACATAAATAATGTTGATTTAAATAAAGAAAATTTAAAAATATTATATCAAGATATTTTAGCAACATTTGATAAAGTACTGTTACGTATAGATCGTACTCAATATGTACAGTATATTGGATTCTATCTTTGTAGTATTAAACCTGCACTCACAGCACTCATAAGCCATTTATGGAAAAAAGTAACTAGCTGGGACGAGGCGCCAGTTATACGTCAATTAGCTGTTTCTTATATTTCTAGTTTGGTCGCTACTGCTTCGTATATTACTTCTGAGTAATTATCAAACTTTCGATAAATCAGTATAAGCAACAAATAGTTTATGTATTTAATATTCATATATATTTTTTTTTTCAGAACGCTGAAAGTAACCATTTGCAGATTTACGAATTGGATACATGATTATATCGGCATGGACGAAACTACAGATAACTACGTCGATTTGAAACTGCATAATGTGTTTTATTCTGTTTGTCAAGCGTTCTTTTACTTGTTCGTCGCGAAACATGAAGAGCTCACCAAAACAAGATGTAGTGAGTATAAACTTATGTTTAAATAAATATATATTTAAAAGTGAAATTGTGAACAAGTGTTATAAAAACAAGTGTTATATTTTCAGATATACTGTTTGTCCAACAACTCGATATACCGAAAATTATTTCGTGTAAATTGAATCCTTTGGTGGTGTGTAATGGTAAAATTGTACGCAGTTTTGCCGATATTACAAAGATGTATCAACTTGCCTATTGCGACGCTATAATCGAAGACAATACGCGCAAACAATTACCTATTTTCGGAGAAGAAGAACTTTTGCTTCCTGATTTTTTTCCCTTTGAATCTTACACACTAGAGCATAGTAGACATTGGATAGCTCCTTTATTAAATAACAATGTATGTATGACAGATGCTAGTAATCAATTATCAAACAAGACTAAACGTTTACGATCTAAATAGTTATGATGTTATACATGACTCAGTATAAATAAATGTTTTTCTTTCTGATATATTCATTGTTTATAATAATAAACAGTTTTATGCTGTTTATGATTATAAATCATGAACCAATTGTTTTAATAAACCGGAGAGAAAAGAAATGCAAACAATTTGTATGCATTACAAGATTATCCTAAACAAGAAATATATTCCAATTAGGAAATTGTGAAAATATTGTACAGATAAAATATAATTTATATTCTGAGATATTCAAATATATTTGTTTCATTAATTTTATATTTATGTATGGAGGTATATTCTATATATATATATATATATATATATACATATAGTGTGTGTGTGTGTGTGTGTGTGTATTGTGTGTATACACACATACATATATATATATATATATATATACACGCAAGATTTTATCCAATAATATCATATATAAGAGGTCTGTTTATTTTAATTACATTATAGTAATTCTATTTTTTTGCATTTAAAATTGTGTGTGTGTTCCTTGTATCTGTTCATACTTATCCGTATATAATGTATGTTTATATATATATATATATATGTATATAATGTATAAAACAAAAGCAGATCCCTCAGGTAACAAAATGATAATTTTATATATGGATAAAATTCGCGTCACAATATGTGAAAATCAGACGCATTGTTTATTTCAGTCTCTATTTCACACGTACTCACCGATATTTCGTCATCGACAAGTAAATTGAAAGCGATTTTAAATTTAAACCTCCATAATGGCGAACAGGCGCGATGTTTGTTTGTTGATGCTTCTGATGGTAGAAGTCAATGGGATATAAATCTTTCCGCAATTTTTGAACGATGCTTCGTCACACGAACGCGCGAGAATTTACTTTCGACACTCCCGACGACAATACACGCGCAGAATTTATTTTCGACAAGCCGGAGACGCAAAGTATATGAAACGGTTACTCGCGCCTGAAATGCTGTACTGGTGACGCGACGATTGCGATTCTCGAAGTACTAAATACGCCAAACACGGTTCTTCCGACCAATCACTAAATGCGATATTCATGGCGACTTTTTAACGATATTATGTCACGTACGAAAATTATTCTCGGCATTCCCGACGATAATTTGCGTATAAGACGTTACTCCGGCAAATCGAGAACATAAAGAACAGTTTGAGCTACCGCAACGGTTTCTTACGAATAGTCGTTATTTCGACCAATATTTCTAGTCGCTTGATTCGCGAGCCTTCGATGGCTAATCAACAATATAATTAGTTATAAAAACGCATAAAACGTATTTTCGTAGTTCCCGACGACGATCATTTAAGTATTAGGTCCACCTTTGACGAAAGTCGAAATCCGCGAGGAACACCGGTACGGCTTTATGAATTCTCGAACTCGACGCGCTATAATTCTTTTAGTAACTGATCGTTCTGCACTAAAGTCCTAGATTAAGAATGAATGAACAACGCAATATCGCGAAACAAGTAACTGCGATACTCCGAATTGTTATAACGTGATGTACATAAAATAAACTTACCTCTCAATGGTTCCTGATGTCTCTCCTTGCAAAATATATCCTCGGGCACTTAATATTTTTTACAACACAAACACTAAATTTAACTTTGCACAATAACAGGCCATTTTTTTCACAACACTTCGATCACAACACAAATCTTAAGCAACAAACGCGCGTAATTTCACTCGGCACTTCCAACGATCCGGTTTTGTTAATTATTTACTTTCGACTACTTGACGATACTTCGCTATGACAAATGCACGAAATTTGCTTTCGGTACTCTCGACGAAACAGTATACGCCAATATTTGTCTTTGGTAATTCAAAATCGCGGAAAATATGCACGATCGGCTTTTGGAATTCATGTACTAAGCGTTGCAATGCGACGGTCGCGATTTTCAATGTGTGCGTATGTCGGTGATTCATATCACTAGCGTACTAGCCAATCAAAATATTCTGTTCGAAACCGTCCGTTCCGTTTGAAATATTCCAAGAAGTTGGCCATGATAGAAAAAATTCCCGAAACTTTACTCGACCCTTCCGATGAATAAAGCACATTTTCAGCGAATATTTAACGAAAGCTGTGTCATACCTCGATGTTTAACGATAATTTGCGGCCGAGACTTGGCTGACGAGTCGAAAATGAAGCTCCGCGACGTGAAAACCGAGCTGCCCTTACGCAGCTGGCGCGTTGAATTTTCCTCGGCATTCCGACGATTCAACTTAATTCACTTCGCGCGGCGGAACGAACGTCATTATAACACACACACACACACGAAACTTACTTTCGGCACTCCCGGTAACGATTTAAGGCACTCAGCTACGGCGAGTCAAAATCACGAGAAATCACGGCCGACGATTTCTCGCATACAACACAACCCGTAACCGGCGCCATAACTAAATAGGATTGCAACAGCGCCACAAGCGGGATACTCGGGAAGGTGAGTTGACCAATCGCGGTGATTTATTTCTTTCCATAGTGAAACTATTTATCTGCACAAAGTGTACGAGGTGCGGGTGAAAGCAGTCAGTGATAGATCGATTTAATTCGGAGCTACACGCAGTGTAATAAGACAGTGATGGTACAATCTAATGCAATAACCGGACTGCTTCATTGCACCCTATTATACCTGACTGTACTGTAAATAAAATTATGTGCAGGGAGAAACCTGGGTATCGATCACGTAACTTTTCTCCTAGAGTGAAAAGTGAAAAATTAGTGGTGGTCCATAAATATTCATATTCATTAATATTTTATAAACTTTTATATATTTTTTAATACTATTTACAATAACATGTGTAACGTTTTATTTAAATTTATTATTTGCTGCAGTTTACTTACCGATATAAAAGAATAAATTGACTCTCTAATATTTCAAAAGGATTAGATATATCGTGTAAAATTCTCCTTTGTATCTTTAAATTTCTTCTTTCTTCTTCTTCGTTTGCAACTCGAAATAGTCATCATGCTACAGCCATAATAAATACTAATAAATACTAATGAAAATATTAATATAATGCAATTCGTGCGAAGATAGGAAAATTAATGCGCGCGCGATCGACTGATTTTCAACGCAGTAGTAATAATATTATATTCCGTATTCGTCGTGTCATTAGATTTTCACTTTTCGGTTAACAAGTTTAATGACGAAAAGTTTACGTGAAAAGTTGGTGAAAAGTTTACGTTTCCATGTTTCCCCTAGTTGTATGATCATAGTTAAACAATATAAAATTACAAAAAGATGTTTGAAGAACATCCAAATGACGTTCTATCTTTCTTTAAATGTGTTTTAGACACACACATGATATTTTAGAATATTTTGTGCTGTCTGGGCGACTTCATGAGAAATTTTTCACTTTTCATTTTTGACTCTAGGGGAAAGTTACGTGATCGATACCCTGAGAGCGGCTACCGGGCTAATTATACTGGGACGTTTTTTCCGCCAAATTCCGTCATGCCCTCTGAAAAAATGTGTGCACACTACATCCGTTCTGACGATAATGGCAAAGCGTGCACGATTCTTGTTTACTCTACTTTTCTTAAGGAAGATAGTAAGTTAAGCCAGTGGCACACGGTGCTTGTTTTCGTGCTGGATTGCTTGCTGGATGAAAATACTGCGTTCTGATTGGTGTATTTCCATCCATCTTCGGAAATGTACCAATCATAACGCAATATTTTCATCCAGCAAGCAATCCAGCAAGCAATCCAGCACAAAAACAAACCCGTGTGCCGCTGGCTTTAGAAAAGCACAGACGATCAATCGCTCACCGTCTTTGTCGCACCACCGATGAGCGTAAGCGCGGCACGAGGAGGTGCGAGGCGAGTCAGTGGCAGATTTTATCGCTAAACCAAAACCAAAATCTCTCCCATCTTGCCTCTTCGCCTTCTCATCTTTCACGCAACGCACTGCCCATAATTTGGGAAAAAATATTTCGAGACCGCGCGGAAAACTTCTAGCAATGACATAAATGACGCTAATAGGGGTGGTCATTTTTATAATTTTTATATTCAATTTTATAATAATTAAAATATAATAATTATTGCATATTAACATTTATAACGCATATGCATAACCGAGCCTCCAGTGTGAGGCGCCCTCTGTACAACCGTGCACATGAACTACAATGCCAATGTCCACGACTCTTTTCTGGTTTCCCTCACCACGCATGCACCATAGCTGGCTCAGTCTATTCGTGTGAACCACGTGCTCGGCAATCGTCGGCGCGCCGAGCGACAGAGAGATATCATTCCCTCTTTCTCGCTCTCGTTCAGTGACGCGAGCGAGGCTAAAGCCCAAACACATGCTGGGCGATAGCGATAGCGTTAGGCAATAACGATAGCGATAGCATATCAATAGAAACAGAAAATTCCGACACTAGGGAATGCATATGTTAATGCAGAATGGAACACGGAACAGACAACAGCGACAAAATTTCCGACGAATTGGAATTCTGTATCTATTGTCTTGTAGCCTACCAATCATTGCGTTCAGATTTTTGCGAATTCGCTGGAGACTTAAGAAGCTTGCTCAAAGCGAGTAAAAGCAGCATCGTGTAAATCACCCTTATCTTTCCCTCTTTCTCGCTCTCGTTCTCGCTCAGCGACGCGAGAGCGAGGCTAAAGGTCATTCTACAATACGTGTCGTAAGTTGTAAGCCGTAAGAATTGGCGAATCACAGTCGATTATTAGAAAAATAATCGGTTATAATTGGTCAGTTCTTATGGCTTATAACTTACGACACGTATTGTAGAATGACCTTAAAGCCCCTTGCACAATGCCAGGCAACAGGCAATAAGAATTAAAATAGACCAATCACAATAGATTATTCTTGTAACAGTCGATTGTGATTGGTCTATTTTTATTCTTATTGCTTGTTGCCTGGCATTGTGCAAGGGGCCTAATTCTTTCTGGGCTCTAATCTGACAAGGGCTACTGCCAAACTTGGGGTCACTGATTTTGACAAGCTTTGGCAGAAATGTAGTATAGGTCTAGCAAAAGTTACTGTTAACCGGAGACGATGCAACACTCAAGCATTTGGGAGAAATTACAAATTGAAATTTCGCGATTTTAAATATGCGCTATTATTCCAACATTTGCAGAGTTACTTACAAGTGACGATGTGACGCAGCAGGCTGGACGCGGTGCTGGTACTCGCTAGATTGCGTGTTCGCGTCTATATTATATTATATTATAAAATAACTACTAGTAGAAAAAAACAGTGTAATAAGAAATAAGGATTCTCATTTAAAAAACGCAAGTTGACCTTCAAACGACCTTGAAAATAGAGGTCAAGGTCAAAGTCAAGGTCATCATAAGATAGTTCACTTAAATCCCTACAACTTTTATTCAAATAATTTTCCTTGAAACTTAAATACTGAAGCAATACTTGAGCAAGCTTCTTAAGTCGCCAGCGAATTCGCAAAAATCTGAACGCAATGATTGGTAGGCTACAAGACAATAGATACAGAATTCCAATTCGTCGGAAATTTTGTCGCTGTTGCCTGTTCCGTGTTCCATTCTGCATTGGCATATGCATTCCCTAGTGTCGGAATTTTCTGTTTCTATTGATATGCTATCGCTATCGTTATTGCCTAACGCTATCGCTATCGCCTAGCATGTGTTTTCAGCTTTAGCCTCGCTCGCGTCGCTGAGCGAGAACGAGAGCGAGGAAGAGAGAAAGATATTCTCGCTCGCGTCGCTGAGCGAACACGAGAGCGAGAAGGAGGGAATGATATCTCTCTGTCGCTCGGCGCGCCGACGATTGCCGAGCGCGTGGTCCACACGGATAGATTGAGCCGGCTATGGGTGCGTGCGTGGTGAGGGAAATCAGAAAAGAGTCGTGGACATTGGCATCGTAGTTCATGTACACGATTGTACAGAGAGCGCCTCACACTGGACTCGGCTAAAAGCGGCCCATGACACCTCTCTTTCTTCTCTCTGGCACCTGAGAGACGTATTGAAAAAACTCCCTAAACCCAGCGGCACACGGTGCTTGTTTTCGTGCTGGATTGCTTGCTGGATAAAAATACTGCGTTCTGATTGGTGTATTTCCATCCATCTTCGGAAATGTACCAATCAGAACGCAGTATTTTCATTCAGCTCGAAAACAAGCACCGTATACCGCTGGCTTAATATCACGTCGGTGTCTCGACATTGGTTAGCGAATAAAAATTGAAAAATAAATCCAACATAGGCCACTTGGCATCGATTAGCCGAGTGTTAATTGTCGACAGTAGTACGGCAGCGGTTCATCGGCAACAATAGTAGAAATTCGTTGGTGGTACGGATATAATACAAACCGAATCGCCATGTGAGATCAAATTTCGCGGTCAAGTGGCGTCGCGACGCCGGAAGTTTGGCGGAGAAAGCGGTGCAGTGGCGTGACATCTCCCGTACAATTCGCTCGCTGTCCGCCTGTTTCGTCGTCAGCCAAAGCGCGATTCGGAATAGCAAGTAGATACATAAAATGGCGAATTACAGTTGTTATTTACTCGTGCGGAATATAACGAAGTAGAGGTAAAGAGCAGAAGGACCGAGACATACGGCCGTTACTCACACGATTGCTAGCGCGCCTGCACAGCACGGACGTAGGCGATCGTAAGTATCGTTGTCGTTGATTCGTTCGAATTAAAACCGTATACTTTGCCAGCGCGTGCTTTTGATCGAGCCGCCCGTCGTCGTCGTGTACTCTGGTTCCGCGTAGAGTAGTTGCCGCGCATTTTCTCGTCAGTGCGTGTTGTCAGATTTGTCGTATCGTAACCCAACCAGGAGATAGTCTTGATGCCGGCGACATCCCTCCATCCCCGTGAATAATCTCATAATCCGCGCAACGAGGTTATGAATGTCTGAAACGGAGTCTTCCATCAGGGCTGATCCATCGTACGTTCGTACGTCGGGACATTACCGAAGTTTCATTTTGTTATAATTAACGTTCGCGTCTCCTATACTCGGAGGATTTTATCGCTCGTCCCGATAATCATCACGTTGGGAAGGGACAAGGTGACGCAGCCACGACTATCTTGCTCCCTTCCTCCCCCCTTCGAAGTTTTTAGGTTATGAATTAGGTTATGAATTAGGTTATGAAGTACGAGGTTCGAGCGGTCCTGCCGTTCGTAATACATTGTGAGAATATTCTTTGTCAGTTAGATCAAATATCGATTACGAGCCGATCGAAGATCTACTGTTTTTCTTTTATCACTTGTGTTCCGGCAGAGAGAAGAATGAGAGCGGCCACCGGCCGTATTTCGGGAGATACGGCTAGGCGCATTTTAGATACGCCATCTGACCAAAATGCGCCTAAACTACGTCCGCTAGGCGCACTTCCGCGGTGATAAAAGTAAAATGCGCCTAGGTTCGTGTCCGTACTACTTCCATGCAATGGATAGTAGATTAGAAAAAGACAGACGACAGACAATCGTTCCGTCTTTGTCTCACTACTGAGCGGCGCGCGGCAGTAAACACGAGGCGAGGTAGCGGCGATCTTATCGCTAAGCGAACATCTCTCCGCTTTTCTTTCATCTTTCACGCTCCAGAGACATCAAAAGACGCGGTAGCGTCTCGTGTCAAGGGAACGTGCGAAGCGAGAAATTATTTTTCACGCACGCGAGGTAGCACATGGGAGACTAGACGAGCGTCGACATATTATCTGTTTCTTTCCCGCTCGTCTAGCTTATTGACTGCGTGAGCCGCGAGATTTTTCTCGCTACTCCTATACCTCGCTCTTTCTCTCTCTCTCTCTCTCTCTCTCTCGCTCGTTCTTTCTCTCTCTCGCACACTTGCTCGCTCTTCCTCTCTTCTCGTGTTCTTACGGCTTGTTTAAATATATTAATTACATGACAATATATATATATAATATAATATATATATATATATAAATGACACATATATAGTGTATATGTATATAAAGAATATTTAGTATTAATGCACAAATAAAGAAGAGAGAATTATAATGAGAGACGAAAAGTTAATAGAAATCCACTCTTAGCCAATATATACATCTTTTAAAAGTGATTTGTTATTAAAGTATATGACAGAATAATTTATTTATGCTAATAAATTTAAATTAAAAATTAAATGAAATGTTATTTGTTTTGTAAAAGCTATTCCATTGTTACATTTTTCTTTTCGTAGCAAAAATAAATTTAGTCTAGTAAAAAAGAAATTAGTTTTATTATCGTATTTCAATTACGACTTTATTATTTAATTTTACGAATAGATAACGTGCATATTGTTGCTCAACGGAAACCGCGAAAAAATGGTGATCTCCGTCAAAAAATAAATGCAAACTTTTTAATAATATAATAATTTTTTTACGTAAGTGTTTGTTTTTATAGTATAGCCTGTTGAATTTTATTAATTATTAATTCAGCATGTTATAGTATAAAAAATATATTTTAATATAAAAATTAATGTAATATTAATTGTTTGCATTTGCAAGAAATATGGATAGAACAGGATAGGTTGCAATGATACATAGGAAAGAAAAAGATAGATGGATAAATAGATAGATAGATCGATAGATATAGAGATAGATATAGATGGATAAATAGATAGACAGATAGATAGATAGATAAATAGATAGATGGATATATAGATATAGAGAAATAGATAGATAGATAGTTAGATAATATAGAAAAAAAGATAAATAGAAATATAATTGTCATTATTATTATTATTATTAATGGTTTCAGTTTCAAGAGAACATTCGCTTAAACGTAAGTCTTGCTTAGGTCCAGTTTCACGACTTATATTATATTAACCGGAATATATTGTTGTATCCGGGCCACAAGGTTTGTGGTAGCGTCCGTTGTCCGTGAGCCTTAGGCATCTGATGCTGATTTTGACATCTGAGCGAGAATTGTCCTGACGGCGGAAAATCGATAAGAAGTAAACAACAAGAACAGCTGATAGAGAGTCTCTGACCAGCTGTCTTGATTGACAGACGCGAATATTGAGAATTATAAAATAGAGTTATTCCTGTTTTAAGTTTTATTGAGCTACGCTGTAAATAGTAAAGCTTGTTGTTCTTACGCGAGTGTTCTTCATTTACCTGAGTGTAAGCGCGAGTGTGAGAGTGAGCGCAACAATATTATACGACTTATATTATATTAACCGGAATATATTATACGATTTATATTATTTTAACCGGAATATAATTCGTTAATATTAGAAGTACCGAGCGGTTATTTCTGATCGTTTCTATTTTTTAGATTAATATCCTGTTTCTTTAAGATTACAGGATTTTTGTTTTGAGGGTTTGTTTAATATGATGTTTGTAAAGAATGTATATAAATTTCTACATATAAGATTAAAAATATGAAAAATATTGCAGTGAAAGCAAGGAGGTTCCACGGTGCGCACGATATCTCAATAACTATTTGACCAATTGACTTACAACTTGGCAGCATTATAAAATAGACTTCTCTTTACCGTTTTAACTACAATTAACCAAATTCATTAATAATTAATATTTTTTATTAAACTTTACCGAGAGGCCAGAAATAGACGATTTTTGTTCTAAATGCTACCATTTTATTATTTGTGTTCCGATTGTAGTTCAGACGATAGCTATACTTATAGAAAATAAAAAGCTACTTTAAATAATTGTGTAAAGTTAAATCACACACATTTAGAAATTCCTTGGAATCGTCTATTTGCAACCTCTTTGCTTTTATTGCAATATTTTATATATTTTTAACCTTACATACTTGTAGAAAAATGTATATATATTCTTCAAACATCATTAAGAAAACTCTCAAAATCCGTAATCTTTTAATTATGTGATCTTTTTCGCTTCCGCAAAAAAAATTAACGAAATATACGTATTTTTTGTCGGGTTCAATAAGACAACTCTTTAAAAGCCTATCTCAACAAAATTACATAATCGCATCATTGATATGCATAAGGAAATCAACCAATCATAATCCGTATAAGCGTGCCTTTTATATTAGACATATTTTACATTTAATTAATCTGTTTCCTTCTCTAGAACAAATAATCATCAAAGGTCAAGATAACGTCAAAATTATTTTAACTTAATTTTGACATCATCTTCACTTTTATATAATTATTTGTTCTACTTCAGTTATGCATATGAACAATATGACTATGCAAGTTTGTCTCAATAAGTCTTAAACTCCGGTTAAAATAAATTATGAAACTAAATCTTAGCGTTTTTCAGTCATCGACATCTTTCACGATGTTACGATTATAAATATTATCTATATAACCAATTGTAACCTACACAATGGAACGCTCTTCGATTGAACCGATTGAAATTGCTCATATCAATTATCAATGATATATGGCCTTTCATTACATTCTCTAAGTTTCAATTGTTAATTGAACAATTACTTTCACAAGTCAAAGATTAACATGCTGATTTGAAACATAATGCAAAAAGCTCGAAAATAAATGCGAAGCAGAGAAGAGATTAACAATGAATGATTATTGTTTAATATGCAACTTACATTAACATGGAATGTCTAATTGACTTAATGTCTCGAAGCTACTGAATATGAATTTCTGCTCAAATCTCTTCCTTTCTGTAGGAGGTTTTTGGCTGTTTCGGTTACTTTTCTCTACATTTATATTGATGAGTTGAAGCACTTGTTTCTACGAGATGTTTAAAATTCGGCTGACTTTACGAGTGTTAACACTCGTAAAGTCCATTGCTCTTCCTAACTTCTTAAAGTTAGGGAGAATGCGATTAAGGATACGTATAGCCTGCTCTTGTTGAGCAAGCAAATCGTTGAGATAATCCATGATATCGAGAAAAGACGACTGGATTATTCAAATATGATCGATCACGTCGTTACGACTAAGAATCAACGTTAGCGCTTGAGCTAAACAACAGTTGCCAAATTAGAATTATCGCAGTGCTCAGAGGCAAGCGAATATGAAGAGTCCTACTGATGGACGATGTTTAGCAATGCGACAGTCAAACAACGATCCCTTAGACTCCGATCCGGCTCGAAGGACCAAAAATGTGGCCGCGTGAGGTGGTTGAACGGCCGTGACGCAGGGATACCAGAACACCCTTGTCAGAAGGATTGAAGTTAGAGATGCTAGTAGACTCGGATCTCGAGCGGCCTTTTCGGGTCGTAAATCCGAACCGCGAAACCCGAGCAACGCTCGTACGAATTAGATCGACGAGCGCTAATGTGAAACGACCTCCGTCGTTTCAGAAGGCCTGCCCTTTCGGACTCAACGGCCAGCAAGATGCCACGGTAGAAAAGAAACTGTGGCCAAGCAAACGAAAATGCTGAGCTCTGTCACGCTAGAGGCGACTGAGTCGTTTTCCTGCGGCGAAACGTCGATGTCCTGTGGACGCGTGAAACGAGAGAGCTCAGCGTACTCAAAGACGCGATCGCGTCGCTGGTCAAATCGCCAAGATCCTTGACGGATACTTGGAAGAGAGAGAGAGTTCGCAAACTCCGAAGGAGAGACGGTACCACCGCTCCTGAAAGCCAAGTTCCTCGACGGACGTTTGGAAACAGAGAGTTCACCTGTCCCACACGGAGGCGACCAAAGCCCGCTCCTGAAGCGTGGCAACGCAGGGAACTCACAGCTGAACACAGAAGATTCCAACCATAAAGCCTCAACCCAGCAGGGTATATTAGCATCGCAGTCAACTCAGCAGAGTGTAGAGTGCGCGTTGGTTTGAATCTCGACTAAGCACTAAACTGCTCTAGGAAAGCCTAGAGAGAACGTCGGTAAAGACGGGCGCTACAAGTCGCACAGACCAAACACCAGGGATTGCCACAATCGGCGTTGGGCCATGCGAAGGCACACTGCTCGCGATCGCGCTCGGTTATATCACCCGGGCGGCCGATTCTTAGCCGCGAGCAGCGGAATTAGTGAGCGCGTCATGTAGCAGCCGCGAACGGCACTAGTGGCCACGCGCGGAACGTCGGCGGGAGCGCCGCGTGCTCGCCTGCGAGAAACCAACGGGAGCCACGCGGCCGCGACTTGATGACAATAATGATGCTGCTTGTGGCAACGTGATGTTATGTCATTGCTTGCGCATTTCCGAACATCTTCCTATGTATCATTGCAACCTATCCTGTTCTATCCATATTTCTTGCAAATGCAAACAATTAATATTACATTAATTTTTATATTAAAATATATTTTTTATACTATAACATGCTGAATTAATAATTAATAAAATTCAACAGGCTATACTATAAAAACAAACACTTACGTAAAAAAATTATTATATTATTAAAAAGTTTGCATTTATTTTTTGACGGAGATCACCATTTTTTCGCGGTTTCCGTTGAGCAACAATATGCACGTTATCTATTCGTAAAATTAAATAATAAAGTCGTAATTGAAATACGATAATAAAACTAATTTCTTTTTTACTAGACTAAATTTATTTTTGCTACGAAAAGAAAAATGTAACAATGGAATAGCTTTTACAAAACAAATAACATTTCATTTAATTTTTAATTTAAATTTATTAGCATAAATAAATTATTCTGTCATATACTTTAATAACAAATCACTTTTAAAAGATGTATATATTGGCTAAGAGTGGATTTCTATTAACTTTTCGTCTCTCATTATAATTCTCTCTTCTTTATTTGTGCATTAATACTAAATATTCTTTATATACATATACACTATATATGTGTCATTTATATATATATATATATTATATTATATATATATATTGTCATGTAATTAATATATTTAAACAAGCCGTAAGAACACGAGAAGAGAGGAAGAGCGAGCAAGTGTGCGAGAGAGAGAAAGAACGAGCGAGAGAGAGAGAGAGAGAGAGAGAAAGAGCGAGGTATAGGAGTAGCGAGAAAAATCTCGCGGCTCACGCAGTCAATAAGCTAGACGAGCGGGAAAGAAACAGATAATATGTCGACGCTCGTCTAGTCTCCCATGTGCTACCTCGCGTGCGTGAAAAATAATTCCTCGCTTCGCACGTTCCCTTGACACGAGACGCTACCGCGTCTTTTGATGTCTCTGGAGCGTGAAAGATGAAAGAAAAGCGGAGAGATGTTCGCTTAGCGATAAGATCGCCGCTACCTCGCCTCGTGTTTACTGCCGCGCGCCGCTCAGTAGTGAGACAAAGACGGAACGATTGTCTGTCGTCTGTCTTTTTCTAATCTACTATCCATTGCATGGAAGTAGTACGGACACGAACCTAGGCGCATTTTACTTTTATCACCGCGGAAGTGCGCCTAGCGGACGTAGTTTAGGCGCATTTTGGTCAGATGGCGTATCTAAAATGCGCCTAGCCGTATCTCCCGAAATACGGCCGGTGGCCGCTCTCATTCTTCTCTCTAGTTCCGGGAAAAAATTGAACTTTGTGTTAAATTCTGTGAGAATCTCAAGTATCGCGTTAGCATTCGTTAAACTATTTTATTGGTAAGTTTCTGTAAAGTTAATTAACTTGTTCTAACTAACCTGTGTGTGATCGGCTATTAGGGCGAATGAAAATATAGATATATTTTTAAATACATCATTGATAGAGCGTTTGGATTTTTTGACTTTAAATATTTACATTTTGTACTTAATTTTGAAAGTACTTAAACGTAAACAATCCATTTGCATATGTATATGCACAGTGTGTAAAAGAGAAAGGAAGGGAGGAAGTAAGAGAGGAGAGAGAGAGAGAGAAAGAGAGATACATATAACTTTAATAATATAATACTAATTTATTTAATCATATCATTATTTATCATTCATATTTAACATTATCATTGATTTTTGCTTGGAAACAATTAAAAAATTTAATAATGTTTTAGTATTAACTATTTGTTAGATATAAACTCTTTTTACTTGCAACAAAATTCAGTGATTCTTGTGTGGTTATGATATGATTATGGTCTATATGTTAATATATATTAATATATTTGCACATGTATATTATTTTATTAAAAACTTGTCAGTTTTTATCACAGTCAAATAATTTTGCTAATTAACAACTTGTAAGACCTAAATGTTTTTAGGAACTGTATTCATTCAAGCTTATCACGAGATGCGTACCTCTAAAATTTATTAGAACGTAACTCGTGATCTAACCTTTGCTGTTACTTACATTTCATATCATGGACATACATAAAATTATAAGTAAATATGATAACTTTTATAAAATCCTTTTTATAAAAATATATAATATGCAAGCTACATACAATGTCTGAAAAAAATGTTTCCTAATAATCAGATATCACAAAATCAGTCATTTTGTATACAAGATTACAATCAATTACAAATTTTAAATGTTAACAACTTTTTATCTTCATTATAGTTGTTACACACTATTACAAGCAAAATATTTATTTGACAGTATCTTAATAATTTTATGCCTTATCACATACACATGCTCATCTTTGCGACAAATCCCCTTTTATTAACCAAGATAACAGAGTCTTTGAAGCACATGTTGTACAAAACTTTGATTTTCTTAAAATGGAAAGAAATTGTATTTATGAACTTTGAAGATATATAAATACATATATTTCTGCAATAATACAAAATTATAATAGGATTTATTTCTAGAATTTTGTGAAGGAGAAAATAATTTCTATAGGAGACTACTTTAAAAGTTGAACAGTTTGCACTAAATATTATCAGGCTACACAACTTTTACATATACATATATTTTTACATAGATAAATTCCATAATGTTTATAATATTCATAGTTTACAACATTGCTTAGTTTACATATTACATTATTGGATCAACATATATTATTTTTATTTTTCTTTCAATTTATTCAATTTTATTTTAATATTTATTTATTTTTTAAAGTATTAAGATTATAAATATATTTTTTAAATAAAAGTCCTATATAATTTATAATTGTTTTCAATAGGTTGTGTCGCGCAAATACACTAGTGCATCCTTCTACAGACATGGTATTGACGGATCGATCTAACTCACTGTATTAGCAGCAAACCAGTCTTAATCATCATTGGTTAGGAAAAGATCATCTTTGCAAACGTTTAAGTCTTGAATAATATGGCACAATATTATAATCTTGTGGCCAATGCCAGTGGTACATTCTGCACTGTAGATGGGCAACGGGTTCAGTTAGTTGTTGAAGATGTTAATAACGGCGGTAATGGTTCACAACAGCTTGTGGCTTATACAGCTGCACCACAAAACAACGAACAAGCAATATTTTCACCGCAAACTATTAATTTAGGGAATCAAATATCTGCAACACGATTGGAACAAGGGTAATTCATATAGCATGCATCTTCAATTATTCAAATATATCCAAATAATAAAGTAACAATTTCCTTAAACTTTTCTTGGTATGTACATAAAAAAATCCAGGACTTAATCGAACAATTTAATTGAGTATAGTGTTTGTTAAGAGGGAGTAGATGGGGGCGTTGGTATGTGGCACTGGTTGTGAGAAATATATTTAAAGATATTTATGAAATAATAAATATCATCAATTGTTGTAAATATCTCAGTTTGATAGAATGTAACATTTTAATGCTAATGTATAATGGGCCATGCATTCTGATATATTGGAAGTTGTCTTGATTTTCTAATAGGCGGAAACATTGTCTATATGAATATTTAATAAAGATGCAAGTTTGACAATACAATATGCTTCGAATGTATTAACGTGTCCAATTTTAATGATAAAGTTATTTTATATCAGCACAATATGAAAAGATGTGAATATATATCAGGTGCTTCTTAAAGTAGTCTTCTATTATGCTATCTTTTATATATATATTAACAAATATTTACAGTTTACAATAAATATTTACAATATTTACAATAAAAGGAATAATAAAATATCGTCATACTTACCTTTAATTTATATATTTTACAAATATAATATGTAGAATAAGATATACATGTTTCAGATGTGTGAATAATTATTTCACAGTATTAGATGTTACAATATTGCTACATTTATTAGAATGAAACATGTTATAATAATATATGCAAGAGGTATGGAAACATTATAGTTTCATTTGAATAATTTAGAGTAAGTTTTATTTATATAATTGCTTGTACGCGTGTGCCTCAAAGAAAGTAATGTTAAAATATCATAAACCTACCATGTTGATATGTTGAATATGGATATATCATACCTACAGAAATTATATGTTGATTTTTTAAAATATTTAAACAAATCTAATGAAATGCAATCTGTATTGGTTATTTGTAAATGATATTAGAACAATTTAGTGTGTATAACATAGATGAAATTTCTTTTTTTTAGCATGTGTGGCCTATAAGCAACTTTTTATGTTAAATGTCACATCAAGAGAAAAAGTCTCATATTGTTATAACATATACATTCTAAGTATTTTGTTTTATTATGTGCATTGTACATGTACGTTGAGTTATTGACTTGCTAATATTTTCTAATATTCACATGAGAAATCTTATATATGCAGAAATAAAATTAAATATATTAAGCCAGTGATTATCTAAATTATAAAATATGTCCAAGACAGCATTCAATTTCTCTTAAAAATATTAACACGACGCACAGCTTGTTTTATTATTTTCCCAAGATTTCTATTAAATTATCACTTGTTCATATAAAGTTATGTCTCGCACCCAGATAATAATGAAGCTCCTAAAATATACCAATGCACCCTCTTCCTCATTACATTTTCATCTGATTACTCATCATAAGCATTACAGTTATCATAAGCATTTTAAAAGCATTACAATCTTATTATTATAGAGAGTAAAATATTTTCTTAATATTGTCATATTCATATAATCATAGAAAAATGCTTACAAAACAAATTTTTATTTGTTACATTTAAAGAGACGTCTAATAAAGATATAAAGACGTAATAAATGCAAATAGAATAATAAATTTTTCATTGATCAATAAAGCATAATTGAACAAAACTAATAATTAAGCTCATAATGCAACAAAAGAAACACATGCTCATTGATATTGTTTATATTTTATTTATAATAAAATGTATTAGTAAGATGACATATTTATTGTAACTTGTTTCTTATCCTTTTCAGACAAAATGTTTATATAATCAAAACAAATAATATAATCGGAACCCAGGAAATATTGAAGTCTAATACTGTGAGTCCACTTGTAGTTAGTGAAAATATCCCGTCATCGAACGCTGTCGATAATATAGGTAAACATTAGCGAAATATTTAATTTGCTTTATGTTTTTAATTTATTTTAAAATATTATATTTATTTTATATTTAAGAGTTATACAGGTGATATCAATCCTCGTAATATTTTTTTTGTTTTATATCATGAACAAGCTTCCTTTTCAGGTACTAAAACAGAAAGTAAAACTAACGAAGGAGGACAAATACAATGGAGAAAATTACAAGATGTTAATACTACTACACCGACAAAACAAAATACGTTACAAGAAAAGAATCAGACTCCCATCGTATCTAAAAGTATAGTTCAAAATAACGTCGCATCAATAGTGAGTACATATTATATTTAGCTATATTTTAACGAAAGATTATATTTATTAGGTGTGTAAATTAATTCGGTCCGTTTTTTTTTCCAAAAGCAGACTTTAGTATGAAAAAACATGAAAAAGTACACTAATCAAAGTATTTGCCATCGCTTGCTATTATTTTTTCCCATCTGTCTGGCAATTGTTGCCTTTCGTAACGGAAAAACAACTCGTCCTTCGAAGCGATCCATTCATTGAGCCATTTCTCTATTTCTTCATAATTGTTGAAGTGCTGGTCCGAAAGCCCGTGTGCCATCGATCTGAACAAGTGATAATCGGATGGAGCAATGTCTGGTGAATACAGCGGGTGAGGTAAAACGTCCTAGCCAAGTGCTAAGGTGGCCTTCAATCTTTCCAACATGTAGCCGAGCGTTATCGTGCTGGAAGATCACTTTGTCACGTTTCTTTGCATATTCCAGCCGCTTATTCTTCAATGCGTTGTTTAAACGGATCAATTGTTGTTGGTAAAGTTCGGCAGTGATGGTTTGGCTCTGTTTTAATAGTACATGATACACTATACCCTTCTGGTCTCACCGAGCATATACAGAGCATTATTTTCTTGCCGTGAATATTCTCTTTTGGTATCGATGTGGGTGGTTTTCCTGGGTCGCTAATGGATTTCCTTCGTTTGGGATTATCGAAATATATCCACTTTTCGTCTCCAGTCACAATATGATGCAAAAAACCTTTTCTCTTTGCCTGGCAAGCAAGATTTCAGACATGGCTTTTCGCCTCTCGATGTCTGTTTCTTTTAGTTCGTATGGCATCCATCTTCCTTCTTTGTAAATCTTTCCCATGGCTGCCAAACGGACAGAAATTGTTGATCGATCAACATTCAACAATTGCGCGAGTTCATGTTGCGATTGACACGGATCTTCATCGATTAGCGTCTGCAATTCCTCGTCCTCGAACTTCTTCGACTGACCTGGACGAGATTTGTCATCGACACTGAAATCATCACTTTTGAAACGTTGAAACCATTCTTTGCATGATTTACCGGTGGGAACACTTTTACTATAAGCTTCTACGAGCATTCGATGAGCTTCAGCGGCTGTTTTCTTCAAATGAAAACAAAATGAGAACTTCCCGGAAATGATGCTTTTTTGGCTCGAATTTCGACATTTTCGAATCAGATAAACATGATGTTATTGTTACAAATCTAAATGTTTATCAACTGATTATTATTGCCAGATATCAAAACTAAAAAATAAAGCCTTTTGCAGACATTAGAGGTTAGAAAATTACATAGTACAGCAATTCGTCCATCGTCAGATGGACCGAATTAATTCACACACATAATATTTATGTACTAAATTTTGTATGCATGCTTGCGTGTATGTGTGCGTATACGCGCACGCATAGCATAGTCATAGACATAGTATATCTAGACGCGTTCTCCCAAATTTCAAGAGTGGGGGTATAACTCTCGTAGAAAAGGAAGCACTCTGTTTTTACTGTTCGTTCTCTCTCGCACAGTCCCGATGGAAGGGGTATAGGGGAGGCAGTTGCTGTACAATAACCACCGCCCCTATTCCCCTTCCATTGGGACTGTGTGAGAGAGAACGAACAGTAAAAATAGAGTGCTTCCTTTTCTACGAGAGTTATACCCCCACTCTTGAAATTTAGGAGAACGCGCAGTCTATATATACTATGTCTATGCGCGCATGTGTATGTATATATGTATAGTATAATAACAATCGTATGTTTGTTTTTAGTCACCTATAAATTCGGCTTCTCTTAAATCTGGTCTAACAGACAGTAATAAAGTACTGAAACTTGTACAACATATAAATCGAAAATTTACAAACAGTGGACAAACTGCTGCAGCATCTCAAACTCCAGATGGAGTAAATGTGAAATTAACTACCATGGAAAATCGACTTCAAAATTCGAATGTTGCAAGTTCTAAATCTGTGTCGTCCGTTTGTGGCAAACCTACCAATCAAGTAGGACAGAATGTATCAATAAGACCTATTCGAGCTTCTAATCCGAATACATCACACGTACGGCCTGTAGCTATGGTACTACCCGAAATGTCTAAGACTCCATTAAGAGCACAAGGTCCAGAGATGGTTCACTTGAATGAACAGATCAAGCAAGCCAAATTGAAACAAATGATGCAAAAGCAAAAGTTGCAACAAAATAATGTACAACGACCACTCCCTGATGCTTTGCAAACTTCTGTTCAAACTTCGCTAAAAAATCCTGCTCGTAGTTCAATAACTCCAAATACTACGCAACCAAAAGCGCAGCAAGTTTTACCTAGTCCTCAAGGACAACAAATGCAAAAGCCACTCATGGCAACGCCTGCTTCTCGGACTGTACATAATACACACAGTGTTGCTCCAATGGACGTCGACACTGCAGAATGTGTGCAGGAAAAAAGGCATCTAACGGGAAAGTCTCTTTCGCCGCCAATAGAACATGATAACAGTTCGACCGAGAGTGTCGCTTATCTCCAAAAGACGATCAGTGATCCTCAAAATACTATAGTTCAGCATCAAATTAACGGAAATACAGCGAAAATGTTAGTGATGTTGGCTACTGGAGAGCAAAGATTGATTACATTCGACATACCGAATGAGGACTGTACTGTACATGACTTATTGGAGCAGGTAGATATATTGTTGAAGATTGTAAGAAACGTGTATAATATGATTGACAAGTTACCAAACTAGAAAAGATGCAAAAATTGAGATTATTAAATAATATTATAATAACATCTTACAATATCAACTTATATATTGTCATTTTATATATTGTATTCAATATTTTTAGGTGAAAATTACATTTTCTCATGAAACATCTGTTTCTTTGGTAAATGATCCAACACTAGGTATAAACTATATAGTTGAAGCTAGTTATGAATCATATGACGCATCACACGTCAATGATCATGAAGAAAATAATTCTACTATAGAGGTTGTAAGTTCTACTACACTGGACTCTGAAAATGTATCCCAAAATACGAAGTAAGATATCTTATATATTAATAATCCTACATCTGTTTATATTGATAAATTTATGTTCTATTATCATATTACATTATGCCTCTGATAAATGTTAAATTGATAATTAATGTATTTTAGTGCTTCAGATGAGAACAGTAATCCATCATTACCACCTGAGGTAAGCTTCCAGATTTATTTAAAAAGACCTAAAATATAAAAAGGACATTGGCATAAAAATTATTCTAATAAAACTTTAATCTTATTTTTTCATATCTTGCACAAATATATCATAGAAGAATTCCTTTTTTTTTTTAATCTTGCTTTTAATTCCTTTTTTCAACAACTTGAAATCAATATTTAATTATCATATATATTGCCATCATATATATGTATAACATGCAGAAAAATACAGTTCATAATTTGATAAAATTATTTTTGTATTATGCCAATTTCTTTTTTTTTTAGTATTAATATTATCATAGTATATTTATATTTTTAAATTTTGAGGTACATGTTAGTGATAAATATATTATCGTACGTTTTATATATGTTACAATCAAAATTTGAAGTACAGTCAACCTGCAAAATGTTTATACAATTTTAAATTCAATAAAAATTAAAGTATCAAAAGGTAAAAGAAAGAATCGGGAGATTCGTAATTATTTCGGGCTTCAATCAGTAAATTCTGGATAATTCTAGGTCTGGCTTTAACATACGACTACAACGCAAAATATTATAACGTCATGTGTATTCATAGTTTTTCTCTTTAGAAAGAAATAAGTTTCGCAATATCAATCAGTATTTATAAAGAAATTAGTATTTATTTTTTTATTTTTTATCAGTATATGTATGTATATATTCCAAACCAACTTGACAATAAATAGATAAATCAATTTAATCAATTAATATTATTATAAAGATATTTTAATTGAATATATCTTTACAATCTAAATTGCTAACACTTGAAATTATATAGAATATGTAGAATTGTAACTCCAAATAGGAGAACAATAAATACATATATACATATAGTAGAATATGTTACTTTACGTGACATTTTTTAAATCTTAAGTATACGAATATTTATATTTTGTGATAATGTTTAGTCAAGACGTGAAATAAACATTTTTCTAGAAAGTGGCTGTAACATATATATCATGAATAATTAAATGTGAATGTGTCGTATATGTGGTGTGTGTATGTATGTGTGTGTGCAAAACTGAATAGTACACCAAAAAATGGAATAATACACACATACGTTTATGTACACTATACTGACTCAAGTTTAGTAGCGTTACATTGCCGCAGTCGATAAGGATTCTATTACATATTAAGGAAGAATGCATAAAAGTACGTTGTACAATGCGAATTGTATCATAAGTACGAAGTATTTCATGTTATTACTAGGAACCTATTTTGGTGAAGGGAATGCTTGCCCTGTGCTCACACTGCGGCTATAGTTCACTTAATTTCAACCGATGTGAACGATGTAACACAAAATTTCCTAAGAACATCAAGTCGATACCCATAGAAGGATGGAAGCAGACTGGGCTATATGTCGATGTAAGGTTTATGATGAGATGCTGGAAAATACCGTGCATTGCACATTTTAATACAAATGTTTATCTGTGTAACGATTAATTGTGTGGTCAATGAATGGTCAACAAATTTACGTTATTTAAGATTTGTTGTGTATAGATTTATCAAGTGTCAAGATTTATATATTAATATATAACATCTCTTAATATAATATTAAAATAAGATGAAAGTTTTTTTATTTCAGCATAATCGTTAAGAATCGTTTTATAAAACATAGAAAAATTTTAGAGTTGAAACATACAATTATTATATCATACAATACTATCATACAATACTTATTATATCATATAATACTTATATCATACAATACTATCATACAATTTTCAGGTCATATTGAAAGCAGTTTGCAACAGTCATCTTAATTGTTACTTTGTACTTTTATTTGTATTATCGATTTTTTCATCGATCTCCTTTGTAACAATTTGTAAGCAAATATTTCGATCCTATAATGTCTTTACAGATGTTCTACAAAAAGAACAACGAACGAAATGTTACGAAATTGGAGAGAATAGAACGAGACGGTTCTACATGCAAGCGCCTTAAGGGAAAAGGTAAAGCTTCCAAACCAAAGCCTGTTAATAAAGAGCCAGGTATGTTAATTTATTGTATTTATTATATAGTTCGGAGATACAGTTACTACATTGACGATAATTTATTACTAATATTAATTATAGAGTGTTTGACAATATCATCTGATGAAGAAGAAGAGGGTAAGACTAAAAAGACTGCTATTAATAGCAATACTATTCTCGGAAATGCATGCAATGCTCTTGACGAAGAAGCAGACACCATCTTGGACAAAGAACCTATCATTACAAACACTACTATTTTTAACTCATCGTGTTCCGACGGTGACATGAATAGTGAAGAAAGTAGTAAGTAAATTGTAAGAAAGAATAAGTTATTTTTTCATAAGAAGGAGAAGCGCGCGCGCATGTAACTTACAATCAATATACGTAAAGCAATAAAGTATAAACAAATAAGTAATCGAATTTCAGGAATATATAACAATCAGAATTTTATAGATAACGAGCCACTACCACCCACTGCTCTACAGTGTCGAACTGTCAGAATAGGATCTTATAAGTATATTCCACGAGAAAAGGTAGTAATTTCTCAGAATGGCGTAAGATTTGGAGTACCATTGTTAGAAGATGGTAAGAACACCTTTGCTCATATTCTATTCGTAATATGTCTACTGGGAGGAGATTAAAAAGTTTCTACATAATGTTTCCATATCTTTTAGGTGAAAATTTTGTTACTTTGGATGTGAAGTATAATGAAATAATTAAGGTGCTGATTCATTTTGGAAAAACAATGCCGGTATTATTTTTTTATACATCTACGAATACAGGAGCAATGATACGTGAATTATTGGGAATGCAAGATCCCAAGGGTCCATATTATGATCCCGCTGGAAAAGGTATTTACCTGATACTTATAAATATCATGAATTCTTTAAAAAATGCCTTTCAACGATTCTTTCTTCTTGTCGCTTTTTAAGCGATATAAATATTTATGTGTTGATTCTTTGCATATATAATTTGTTCGCTCAATGTTCGGTAAATGTTTTATAATTTCATTACCTTCCAGACCATACTCATAAGCGTATAACATTATTGCCAGAGGAGCTAACGAGTGATTCGAAGGTTAAGTTGAAAAATATATTCCTACCTAGAGGGAAGATGGAGGAATTAAATCCTAAAGAAGCAAATGACATTCTTCTACGAGCATCACCTAAGGATGTATGTGTTTGACCAGATTGTGTTTCAGTTACTTGCCCGTCATAACATTTTCATTTATTTGTTTTTATTTACAGAATCAACAGATCACTAGTATTATGCGACGACAGAGTCAAAATTCTCTGCTGAATGTTACTACTGACAATGGTAGCATACAAACGTAAGACACTATTGTTTAACGATTAATTTTTTCTCATTTGGCATCTCTGCGTACTTTTTATTAGTTTCTTATCGTTCGAATTTTCTTTATTGAAATTTTTCTTAATATGAGAAAATTTTTCCACTATTTTAGGATAACTGTATACCCACCACCACCTGCAAAAGGCGGCATAGCCATCAACACTGAAGATTACTTGTGCCTCGGCGAAGATCAGTTTTTAAACGATGTGATTATAGACTTTTATTTAAAGTATTTGACTTTAGAGGTATTGTCGGAATCTGATCAGCATAGGACTCATGTGTTCAGTTCATATTTTTATAAACGTTTAACCAGCCCACATGCTCAAGCTGCCGAGAATACTTCACCAATGACACCTGCCGCGAAGCGACACGCGAGAGTACAGAAATGGACGAAGAATGTTAATATATTCGAAAAGGATTTTGTTATAATTCCCATCAACGAGCAGTAAGTGAAATGTTAAGTAACGTATGCTATTGATATGACATTTTATATAACAATATAATGTTTGCAGTGCGCACTGGTTCTTAGCTATCATTTGTTTTCCTGGACTGGTCGGAAAAGTCGCCATATGCCCTCCGAATATCAGCGAAAATGATACACATAAAATTACGCAAAAGAATAAAAAGCTGAAGGAAGTAAAAACGAAAGCTGTCACGATTGGCTGTACAACAATAACACCGGTACCTACGACTATAACGATAGATCAAGCCGATGATGGATCCGAGAGAGACGAAGCTGAAGGCGATGACGAAGAAATGGAAATAGAAAGCGACGAAGAGGTAAAGTATCAAATGCACTTTATTTTTTTTTTTCATTTTGAAACAGTTTATTATATGTGTAACATGGTCATGTCTTTTATTTATTCATTTATTTATAGGACGAAATTGAACAGCCTGAACAAAGTATAATCCAACAAATTAAAGTGGAACCGGATATTTCGCAGCAAGAAGAAACTGTTAAAGTGTGAGTTGCGCGCACATTGTATGATCAATTTCTTCAATATTTGAGTAATTTAATTCGTTTTAATTTAATTTATAGTCCATGTATATTGATATTCGATTCGCTCGCTGGTGCCAGTAGAGCACGAGTAGTTGCCACTCTAAGAGACTATTTAAGCTGTGAATACCTTGCCAAACTTGGAGAAGAACAAACTTTTTCAAAAGATACCATTAAGGGCGCGTGTCCGAAAATACCTCAACAATCGAATTTTACCGATTGCGGTTTATACGTGCTACAGTATGTGGAAAGTTTCTTCAAGGTTAGTGCAGCATTAAGACAAATCGCAAAAGATGTCTGTCATAAATTTATTTTCTTTCTTCACGTTTTAACGGTGCAAATTATTATTGTGATTAATAGTTTTCTTCAATTACACTTTTTTAGAATCCAATTGAAAATTATACTTTACCAATTAAGATCTTAAAAACATGGTTCGAAGAAATTGTCGTGACAAGGAAAAGGGAGGAGTTATCGCAGTTACTGATTAAGTTGATGAACGCTACCAAAGGAGATAGAACTATCAATCTGCCTAGCGTGAATTTCCCTACGCAAGACGGCAAATTGAAACCGAAGAGTGAAAATCAGGTGGATGTGAAGATTACGAAGTCGGAAAATGAGAATAAGAGGAAATCTACGACTGACGCAGACACACGTATTAGCATGTCGGTAGTGGCAGAAAGTACTGAATCGAGTAATGAAATAGTTAATAGAACTTTCCAGATCATTCCTTATTCTCCGTCTATAAGTTCTAATTCGACTGACAGTAATTCAACAGAAATATTGACCGAGCCGAAGACTACGAGGTACATATAATATAATATTTTGCAGTTGCATAATCAACAATTGTTATCCGTGATATCGCAAGTTGCAATTGTACGCCTAATCCGATCTCATTTCCTCGTCGCCTTTGTCCGTTCTTCTGTAGATACTTCGATCCTCTTCAGAAAGAAACACTCCCGAAATATTTTTCCCCATGTCAACAGAATATAATATTACTAAAAGCTATATATATATATATATATATAATTTTATTCGTATTTATCCATACATACTATCTGAGTATATTTATCACAACCAATATATGGAACATCCCATCAATTTTCAGATCATCAAGCGAAACGATGTCTTATCTTAAGTCTAAACGAATTCCCAGGCTAATGTCAAGAATTCAGACTCCGGACGATTCTCAAGCTGCTAAGAAGCACAAAGGGGAACCTTTTAATTCCTGTAAATAGATGTTATTTTCTTTTTCTACAGTGATAAGATTAATGTTAATCCGTATAGACCTTGAATTAATTTACCATGTAATAGGAAATGTAGTTGATACTTCATAAAGTGAATAAAACTACAAACTTAATTTCCTGATTGTATATCTGACGCTTTTCAATCTTTTGATCTTTATATGTATTTTGTAACGAGTGATTTGTGGTAACATTGTCAAGCCTGTGAAGTGTGTTTCCTACGCAGCTGTGGTGTGCGAAGTAAGATGTCGATATTTGGTAATGCGTTGGATATGTATTATGCGGCGTCTGAATGTCGCTGGTGCATTGCGCAGGAAACACGCCACTCTTCGCGAGAATTTAATCGATTGTATCTGTGGAATGAATTGTATTTACGAAAATGCATCTTTCCCCAAATTGAATTTGGCTGGTATTGTATCCTGCGCGCGTATTCTTTGCTTCGGCGTGAGCTTTTTCGGCGGTGCGCTCTGAATTCCTCGCTCCACCAATAGGCACATGCACAGTTACACCGATTTTACCGTTCGGATGGCTATTTAAAGCCGCGCAACATACCCGCGCAGATATATTCAGTACTCGACAGTTTTAAATAACCGCTAAGCGAAGCTCTGCTCTCTCTCTATTTCTATGTCAAAACTAGGCGAAGTATTTACGAAAACCGAGACACATCAGCGAGACGTTCCGTCGGCAGAAAAAGATGACCTCATCGGCGTGATACAGTGCTTCTCTTTTCCTTTTCTGCTCTCTTTCTCTTTCTCTCGTGTGAGTATCTGCTATTGTATTTCGACATTATATCGCGAGAGACACTGTGAATATCATGCGAAATTAGCAAATTTCTTATTACATAATTCTCATCGAGCACACGCGGGTCACGATACGAGGATTACATCAAATAACCGACATTAATAATGACATTTTGTCGATCCGTCTCGACGGTCGTGATGAAGCGATCTGAGAACAGTAAATACCAAGTAACAGTACCAAGTAACAATACCAAGTAACAGTAAACAAAATTAAATTTATGTCGATGTTATTCCCCGTTTAATGTAAATACAATGTAAAACATGTGTGTAACGATTACGTCGTTGAACGAGAAATTGTAATATTGATGTAATGTCACTGTCACACTCGATACTTATCGGGAAGATGTCACTCGGCTATTTAATTATGCAATATCGTTATCATTATTTAATTATGTAACTTTTCCTACCGGACAGGTCGTTTGTAGATTCCCTTAACCGCGCGCTTCCGCTACTTTGGCCTGTTTCTTTTTCTTTCCATCGTGCTCGTGCGTCGCGCTTGTTTAAACAGCGCGTATGTGACTTAATAGGATAATGCCTGCGACAATAATCGCCCTGGCAGTGTCTACGCTGTACATCGTGTTCACGGTATGGCTAGCGCACTGGCTGAGGCTGTACGCGACATACTTCATTGAACAGCCCCTCGTGAAATCCTTGTTCTTAGAGGCGATCGCTACGGCGGAACTCTGCGGAGCATGCTTCGAACTCATTATAAGTAAGTCGACCTTCCGTAATTGGCGCTCCCTCTCCGTATCGATGCACGCTCGACATTGTACGACATCAATCGACTTAAGTCGGTGAACGTACATGTACACACACACACACACACACACACATACACTCTCTGCACAATGAAATCTGAACGTATTGTGATTACGGCTGCATCGTAACTCGAACGTTTGATTTATTTTTGTATTGCGCGTTACATATAGTTTATTATTAACTATGTATCTGTTTGTTGCCCGATTGGGCTTTTTTTGTGTTATTTTTTACTAATACATTCATAAACAGTTTCGTCCGATTGTTCAGCATATTATTTTCTCCGAAGAAATAAAAATTCTGTTGTATTGTTGTCTCTTCAGTTGCGGACAATTGGGGAGTATCAATGTATGCGATTTATCTGTTTGTGCTGACGGTTTACTGGTCGATGACCTGGGGCGACGCGTCGGCGTGTCCCTACACTCACCTGGAGGACATGGTCCTAGGCAACAAGTCTGTGCGCATCGCCTTCCTTTTGATATGGGCCGAATTTCTCGGCGGTATCGCCGTGTTTAAGTACATTCAAGTGCTCTGGGCGCTCGAGATCGTCTCCACGCACAAAAACCGGGCGTTCGGAGACTGTACTACAGATTTGCAGGCAAGGCCGAGCTTACTTCGCGGATGTATCATGCTGCGAAATGTGATGACAATCCCGATTAATTCCACGCGAAACACTGTCGTTGTTAAAATTAGTCTTTAGCCGTTAGTTTTGTTGATATCAGAACTATCCTGCGCGAAAGTGTTATCATGTGGAATAATATCAGCCCCTGAATAACGGAAATTCTATGTGATGCGCGTACCCAGGAGAAATTATATCGTATATAATTATTTTAAAAGTTATATATGATTATATATTATTTATATATTTTTTACTTAATTATATATAATTTAATTATGCATTAAACTACTAATATGATTCTGTATCTATATGTGAATTTTATAAATATTATACTATATAATTGTACACGGAGGAAAGAATGCTTGTAAATGAAAAGAAAAAAATATTATTATTGTACGTACAGTTCAAAGCGATTTTATAGTTGATTTGATTAAAAAATACGGTTGTTTTTAGGTACCTGTTCTAATTGGAGCGCTCATAGAGTGCGTCGCTACGTGCATATGTAGGGTGGTGTCACGCGTCTTGGGTGACCTAAATCCAAGATTCAGCACGGTCATCGACTCTTTCGTGGGGACGTCTCTGGTTGTTGCAGGTCGGCGAGAACCTCCGATACTTTTTGACGGCATGAAAGGTACTGCTCTTTATTCGTTGATCCTTTGATAAAGTACCGTGCACGTTCCAGCCTTCAATTATTCCGGCGGTTACTTCAATCCCGCACTGGCGACTTCGTTGAAATGCGGTTGCTTGGGCACCACATTCATCGAGCACGTGACAGTATATTGGATCGGGGCGTGTGTTGGATCTATCGCCTCCTTACGCGTGTACAAGATGCCGTTCGTGCAAAATTTCGTTGAGCAGCGCAAAGAGAAGATCGCCTAAGATGACACAATGACGGAAAGGCATTGGGTGTTTACGCACAATCTTGTTGAACGATTTTATTCTTCAATTACTTGGATATTTATATATCATTGTTTATATATTTTTCAATCTTATGTCGTTTCAATTTTATTTATTTTATTTTATTATGTCATTCCGGCTCGAGGAATGTATTATCGTAATGTACTAATCTTTTTATTTTTTTTTCTTTTCTAAGAAACAGTTACACGATAACGCAATTGTATTTTAGCGAAACATTATGATACAAGCGTTATTCTATAGATGTAGAAGATATTTCTTGTCGCCGTGCATTTTGATGCATGTGAGCGAGTGGTCCTCGAAAATTGGTCAGAGGGTAACGAAAACTGTATGACGACTTATCACTGGAATAACGGAGAATAACGGTAACAATATCGAGCGACTTTTTTTATAGAGCGATGAATAACGCTAAAACGAAATACTTTGAGTGTATTTTTCAATTCCAATACTGTCTTTGCTATAATGTATACAAATGTTTAAGAGCGCGGAAACTAACGCGCCGAAGGGTAACATGATGCGATTCAATTTGCGTATTGTATATCGCAATTAATCATAGCTACGTCATGATTTTCAGGTGACACTTTGATCGACAATCAATTAGAAGATTGTTTCTTAAATATGCCCGAAGATTGGAGGTTGGATTGAGCCGCACATTAGACAATAAAACAATATATTTTAATAAATTTATTCAATAAAAAAATGAAACGTGTTCTTATCTCTTTGCTCCTTACAAAAAGTATAACGTCTTTGATATATGATATAATGCAACATGTAGAAAACTTTGATGAGACATTTTTCAGATGTGAGTTTTTTTATTCATCAAGTTATTACACCATACATACGTATGATATTTGATATTCAAGGCTATATATTATGATCAGAACGTTTCCATAATTAGAAGCATCTAAGGATATTATACATGTCTTAATGTGACTGAATTATCATATACAATGTGTCTGTCTTTGTTTAAGTAAAGACTGATGACGACGTCGATGATGACGTACTTTCGATAAATTTCTTTTCCAAAGTTACAAGCAAGTTGTGTAAAAAGGATTCCATATAAAATACCGTGTTTTGTTGATAAATAGTTAAACACGAAAAATGCTTTTTATATCACGCACATATTGAAATTACATCGATTTCAACTATTAATTACAACAAAAATACGGCTATTACGATATGAACATCCTGTTCCAAATCAAAAGTCCTTTCCTTTTTGAAATCTACTTTAACGAAAATATCGGTTTATCAATATACGTAACTTCGAAGGTCGAAATGTATTCTAAAGATCCAATGTCATCAAGTCTATAAAATGTTATGCGGAAGACTCCAAACAAATATCACCTTGTCTCGAAATATTTAGTTCTCTGTGACAACCTTCGTTAACATTGTTCCTGCCTTTATACAAGTGTCTTGTGCAATTAATTAAGCTTGACTTGGATATTCTCTGTGTAACTTTATCTCTCTGGTAATTTCTCTTTAGATTTTGTTCAAAACTTTCTACCGAAAATAAATTGATACATCATAGATTCAAATAATCGTAAAATCTTATATTGAACAGAACAAAGTCCTTTTATAAAAAAATAAAACGGAACGTCATTGATACTCCAGAAAACAAAAGAATAACAGTCAGCACGATTCTGTCAACGTATCGTAAATTTCAGCTCTTTGCATATTATCCTAATTACATGGAAATCATTTACGCACCTAATTAATAATTGAATTGTTTTTTGTTTTTGTAGTAAGCGGAGAGTAAGTAACTCAATAATGCTGATTTTGTTTGAACCTAAGATTACAGACTCTTTCAGATTTCATATACTATGGCATATTGTAATGTATTTCGTGGCAATATTTGTTAAAAGTATACGCTGTAATGATCTTATGAAACTTATACTTGTCGAATTAACAGCTACGACAGAACTATGTGCGATAAATTACGAACTCACTTCAGGTACAAGTCTATGTATATTGAACATCTTTTTTATAAATGTATTCCCCTTCCCTTTTATATACGTGCAGCGTCGTACAATCAACTTTCTATAACCGTTACATTTGTACATCATAGTAATGGGATTTAAAAGCTGGCCATTTTTTTATTGCTATTTTATATCTCTGATTTAAGTAGTCTCTCTAGTTTACATATTAAATATACGATGTATTATCCTTAGTAAAATTATTTATAGTATGTATCTTAATCAGGATCTTCTACCTTTTTTCTCTTTCTCTTTGTTACATTTTAATAACATGTTATATAATATTTAATATCATTTTATATATTTTTCTAAGAATAATATTTTCTAAGAAATTTCAAACTTATCTCAGTTGTAGAAAAATGTGGGCCATTAATATATGGGATATTTACTCTAGTAACAATGATGTATTGAATAACACGCTGACATGGCGTAGAAGCATGTCCTAATGTAATACTAGAATATATCTTAATAGGCAAAAAGATACGCTGGAATGGTATATTTATTATATTTGCTGAAGTGCTCAGCGCTTATTTTGCATTCAAATTTATGCCTGTAATATGTAAATTTTTTCATCCGATCGATTTGACGTCAGTAGGTTGCTCTACAATTTTTGATGAGGTAAATTCAGTGGTTATTTATTTAGTTAAATTTATTTAATGGACATTTATTTATTTATTTCGATGAATCAACTTTTCATAGTTAAAAGATGATTTCTAAAATAAAGAATATTATCAAAATTTTTCATGTAAGTTCTTACAATGTTCAAAAAAAAATAATTGAAATTTTCGGAAAAGATTTTCGAAATTATCTGTACAAATTAGATGGAATTTAGTATATGTATGTGTGCGTGTGTAATATGTATACATGTAATATATATACATAAACTTTAACATTAATTTTAATATAGATTTATATAATTTAGCATATAATATTGTATACAGTGAGCTTTATCTTATGTATATAATTTAATGTAATTTTATTGTTTATTTCATACTATATATCATATTATTATATTTCATATTATATATTATATATCATAGTATATACAATATATAAAAATTTTCAGAATCATGTACTATACGCATTTATCTTCGAATGGCTATTGACTGTCGTTCACAGAATAACAACTTATATTATGATACATTTAACAATACTCTACTTATCTTTACAAGTGAAAATAATTGTGCATGCTTGCATGCTAGCAATATTTAGGACCATAGGTTGGCGGGTGTTTTTACTGTTTTTTACAACATAAAATGCACTGTTTTGTCAATTCTTTATAAATAATATACATTTTAGGATTTGTTTTTATTGGTAGTTTCAACAATCCAGTATTAGGATTGTGTAAGATACGGATGTCCAAAAATTGATTATTTTCAAAGCCTATTTGTTTATTGGATTGGACCCATTTTGCGGGTCTCTTCATATTGTGCTCTCATGGATATTATACAAACGATTTATAAAGCGTGTACTATCTCTGCTGCCTAGTGATACCGAAATTGCTCTAATATATGACAATGAGAGTTTTAATAAGCACCATACATAAATCATTATAATTATTATATCTTTGAATTATATAACAATAGCTACATATTTAAATTTCATTACATACAGTTATCAACAACTTTTGTCTCATCATGCCGGTTTTGAACGACTATAATAATCGCTGACCGCATGCCTATCATCTATAATTTGATTATGAAATAACGCACGTTTGAATAATATATAATAAAATATAATAAAATAAATTAAATTAATAATACAAATTATTTGACAATGTCTTTAATACGAAAATAATATATAATACTATCATATTTATTAAAAATAATTTTAGGCGCTTGCATTTTCGATTAGATAAAAAGAGGTAAAGGAGAAATTCTTTCTTATCGTTGAATACGTGTTATACATAATAATTAAAATAATTATAAAAAAGCTATTTTTATATTTTTACCATATTTGTCACAATGGAATTTTTACAATATATACTATATAATAGTAAAATAATATACAATTTGGCTTAATTAGGTTGTATTATTATATGTATCGTGTTTATCTTGTTAGGAGTGATAAGTGATTTTTCCTCAATGTTCAACATGTTAATGCATTTTTAATAAATAAAACACGACATATAGGACATGAATATCATACATATTTTGTTACGATACATTTGGAATAGCATGTTTGGAATAAAGTTCAATATTCATACAATTTCAATGAAATTATTTCCTAAAGTTATAAGCAAGATATATAAGAAGAATAAAATGCCGTATGAAATGCCTCGTTTTATTATTCATAAACGGTTAAACATGGAAATTGTTTTCGTGTCGCACATATAAAATTTATATCTTAAATTCGTGAAATTACATCGATATTATCTATCGATTTTAGCAAAGTAGACAGTTACAATATAAATGTTTTGCTTCAAGGTAAAGAAATCTTTCCTCTCTTGAAATCCGTTTCAATAGAAATATCTGTTTTTCAATATAGCTACGAAGTTAGTCACGCGTTCTAATATTATTGGACCTACGAAATGCTATGATGACAAAATTGACGAATTCAGAACGAAATTTTATGACCTTGTCTCGCATTTCCGCAACATTTAGTTCGTTGCGAGAGTTCATCGATTATATTTCTCATTGTACACAAGCGTAACGCCAAATTAAATTTGGTCTTAATATTCCTGATATATAATATTGTCTTTCTAATAATTCCATTTTAGATTTTGTTCAAATTCTGCTATCGGATGTACATAGATATGTTTCAGATTTAATAAAATCATTATTTGAAATTCCATATTACGTCAAAGAAAGCAATTTTTTCTAACGAATGACATCGGTGGACATTTCAACATAAAAAAAGAATAACAGCGTATTTTCGTAAATACATCGTAAGTATTATTCTTTTACATATTATCTTAATTGTGCAAAAATAATTTATACAATTAAGAATTTTATTATCATGTTTTACAATAAGCTGTGTATATTTTAACAATATTGATTCTGTATTTCTTTAAATAGCACACATTTGAATAAGATATGGATAAAGAAACATTTAAAAACAGTGCGTTGTACTTTGGACTGATATATACGATAATAACTCCTTTTACGAAAAAATTCATCAACATAATTGGAAATGAAAAAGTGAGAGATTTCGTTAAAGACATAGTAGCCACGTTTGAACTATGTGCAATAAATTACGAAATTGTGGCAGGTACACATGTATATATATTAAATTTCTTCTTTATAGATACTTCCTTATTATTTATTTATAAATATAAAATAAATATTTCCTTGTAAATATATGCACAACATCGTACAATTAATTTTGTATAATAATAATTATAAGTATAAACACTGCATTTCTCTTATTGCTATTATAATCTATATTTTTTCTGTTTTAAACGTTAAATTTATGTTAGGTATTCTCTTATCCTCTTGGTATAATAATTTGTTATTATATTATCTTAATTAACATCTTTTAACTTGCTTTATATCATGTTAATAACATTTCATACGATGCAGTATCACGAATTTTGCAGTTTTCTAAGAAAAGTTATATTAATTTTTTCAGTACCTTGAAACTTCAATTTACTGAAAAGTTATTTGGGGTGGGACATTAAAATGGGACACCCTGTATATATACTGGGTCTTCCAAAAGTGTGGAAACCCTTTAATATTATGAAAAATACACATTTTTGAAAAGAATGTTCTATACGAAAGTTACAGGGTTTTTAGTGATACATTACATGGTAAAATTAGTATTACCTTGAACTACATTGTCAAAGTCAGATTCACTTTCAATTTTCTAAATAGCAATCCCTACTTTTTATTGCATATTTTTAGAGCGTACCTCGATAACTTTCCAAAACACTATAATAAAATAGTTTTTCATTATTAGGAACATTTTGAGTAATGAAGCTTAAAAATTACAGTACCGCTGGCATTAGCATTATCTAAGGTGTATCACGCAGTGATTGCCCGATCGGATTTACACCCCTTTTATGATGTAGGTGGGTGGGTGTGTGCGTTTGTGTGCGTGTTGTGTGTGTGTGTGTGTGTGTGTGTGTTGTGTGTATTATGTGTGTTTGTATGTATGCTTGTGTGTGTGCATGGATGGATGCACAAATGATTAGATAGGTTAGATAGTTGATAGGGAATAGGTGATAGTTGCAGAACAGATAAGGACTGAGAACCGTCACCTTCTCTCTCTAATGACTCAAAACCTTCTGCTCCGCATGTGCGCTTTCAGCGTCTTAAAGTAAATGCTGAAAATGATTCCCATTGACTTCCTGATAATACGCTAATCTTTGGTAAAACGTAAAAATGGCTTTACGATTAGTTTCAATAAGTACCAAATCCGCTTCGTCCTTTATTCGCGGCCTCAATTCTTGAATATTTTGAGGTTTTGTTTTGTAAACCTTACTCTCTTTATGTAGCCCCAAAAGTAATAATCAAGTGGAGTCAGATCTGATGAGGCGGCCAATTCTCTCCTCCCTCATCTGGATTCCTTCTTCTTATTCACCTTCGTGGGAACTTCATTTAAAATTCTATATGGTCCTACACCAAAATGAGGAAGAGTTCCATTCTGCTGAAACTATATTTCTTCGAAATTATTTGAAAAAATATTTTGTATCGTTGAAATTATTTAATCTACAAGTAATCTTTCATACCTTTGAGCATTACAATTTTTTTCAAAAAAGAAAGGTCCACTTAAATAGCGATTTATCATATCGCACACATACGTTTATTTTTGTGGGTATTGCTTATGAGATTCCCGCACCCAATTCAGATTCTCATCTGACCAGAAACGAAAATTTTGATTATCTTCTCTCGTCAAAGTAAAGATTGCCTTGTCTATGAAGACAATTTGATAAGGAAAATTGGGCTGGACATCTATTAGTTCTATTATTTTTTCACAGAAGCGTAAACGACACTCCTCATCTCCATTTTGCAATTCTTGAACATATTGCAGTTTGTATGAGTGAAATTTGTTTTTCTTTAACATTCTGTATACGGATGTGGAAGCAATGTCATGAGTTTGAGCTGCTCTACTAACAGACATGTTGCGATTTTCAATAAATGTTTGCAGATCATCAAACTGTTCTCTTCGTTAGTTGCAGACGATGGTCTGCCTGCCTTAGCGCGATTTCTTACGCTACTAGTTTCTTCAAGACGTTGTAATGTTTTTAAAACGGTGGATTTATAAATTCGACGATTCGAATATGTGTCATTAAATAATCGAACAACAGCAGTGTACGACCGAAAAAGCGCAAGACCTGGCATATATATATATATATATATATATATATATATATATTGTTCTTATAAACTACATTAATGATATTTCAATATGTTATTTTCCTAGTCTAGAAAGCCACTAGGGGTATGCAAAAATTTCCATCGTTCATGTATAGCTGGTATTGTGAATTATTTACATGAAAGTTGCGACGCATTTTTTTTCATATATCAGTATTGGTCAACCTGCATAGAAACTGATGCATAATAACTCATATTCACATTGACATAAGCATTTTTAATTCATATGGAGATGAAAGTCGATAAAACGTATATTCGTCCTTGCATGTTTTTTTTTACTTCATCAGCGCCGAAGCAACCATAAGCAAAAATTAATTAAAAACCATTACAAAAATGGTGAGGGAACGATAGCTGAAAGTTCATGTTGTGAGTGATTTCGGTGCCTTAAAAGTGGCGATATTGACTTGAAAGACAAGAAGCGTGCTGGGCGATCGCAAGAGATGAATTCGGATGATTCGGAAGTGTTATTGCAAAAAGATTCGACTCAATCGAGTGTAGAACTTGCGAAAACATGTTACATGTTACATGTTAATTAAAACACTGTAATTCTACGCTTGCATGAGATAGAGAAAATTCTGAGAAAAGAAAAATAGGTTCCCCATGAATTATCTGAGAACATTATTGCCAGCCAAGTCATCATTTGCCTTTCGCTGTTCGATAGACACAAACACAAGTCTCTTATGTATCGAATTGTGACCGGAGAGACGAAAAACGGATTTATCAAGACAATCTCAGTCGCAATAAATCGGGAATAAATCTCGGAGAACCCTCTACGTTACAGCTAAAACGAAATATTCATGATTATAAGATCCTCCTGCGTATTTAGTGGGACATGCAAAGAGTGCTGTATTATGAGCTGAAAACCATCTCAGATTATCACCGCGGAATTATACAGTCGAAAATTGGAGCAGTTGAATGAACAATTGATCGAGAAACGGCCATATTTTGCGACAAAGCAAAACGAAGTAATTCCTCTGCACGACAATGCCCCACGTTGCATTAACGACCCGGCAAACTTTAATGGAATTGCAATGGGAAGGCCTATCACACCCAGCATATTTTCTCCAGATATTTTCGGATTTTTCGTTTTTTTATTTCGTTTTATGTAGCACAGAGAGAGAGAGAGAGAGAGAGAGAGAGAGAGAGAGAGAGAGAGAGAGTCTTTCTGGTACACGATTTCGCAATGTTGAAAAAGTGCCACAATTTATCGATAACTTCATTTATTTTAAGAACAAAGATTTTTTTATCGCGGTATCTATCTTTGACCTTGAAAGATGGCAAAAAGTAATAGATAATGCCGGAAAATATTTTGATTGAAGATACTATGTCATTTATAATAATATTAATAGAAGACGTTAAAAACCATGGAAGCTTTTATGTACCTCTAATACGATATGAGGCTCCCGTTCCAAACCAAAAGTTTTTTCCTTTTTGAAATCCACTCTAACGGAAATATCTGTTTATCAATATAGCTACGAAGCTAGTCACGCGTTCAAACGTTATTAGACCTACGAAATGTTATGATTACAAAATTGATGAATCCAGAACGAAATTTTATGACCTTGCCTCGTTAAGAAGGTTAAAATATAAATAATGTGTTATTCGTGATTCTATTTCCACAACATTTAGTTCGTTGCGAAAGTTCATCGATTATATTTCTCACTGTACACAAGTGTAACGTCAAATTAAATTTGATCTTAATATTCCTAATATCTCCTAATATTGTATTTTGTAATATTGTCTTTCTAGTAATTTCACTTTAGATTTTGTTCAAATCCTGCTATCGGATGTACATAGATATATTTCAGATTTATCATTATTTGAAATTCCATATTACCATATCCATATCAAAAAAAGTAATTTTTTCTAACAAATAACATCGGTGGCCATTTAATAAAAAAAGGATAGCGCATTTCCGTGAACACATCGTAAGTATCATTCTTTTACATGTTATAATTGTGCAAAAATAATCTGTACAATTAAGAATTTTATTATCATATTATTTTATAACAAGCTGTATATATTTCAACAATATTGATTCTTTATTGTTTCTTTAAGTACACATTTGAATAAGATATGAATGAAACATTAACAGCCACTTTCAAGTACTTGGGACTAATATATTGTATAATATTTCCTTTGATAAGAAAATTCACCAACCTAATTGAAAATAAAAAATTGAAAAATATCTTTAAGGACATGGTAGCCACGTTCGAACTATGTGCAATAAATTACGAAATTGTTGTAGGTGCACAAGTACAAGGTACATATATATTAAATCTCTTCTTTATAGATACTTCTTTATTATTTAAAAATATAGAATAAATATTTCCTTGTAAATATATGTGTAACACCGTACAATTAATTTTATATATTTATGATAATTATTATAGGTATAAACACTGCTCTTCTCTTATCGCTATTATAATCTATATTTCTCTGTTTTAAATGTTAAATTTATATTAAGTATTTTCTTATCCTCTTGGTGAAATAATTTATTATTATATTATCTTAATTAACATCTTTTATTAACTTTCTTTTTATCATGTTAATAACATTTTATACGATGCAGTATCACGAATTTTGCAGTTTTCTAAGAAAAGTAATATTAATTTCCTCAGCTTCATACTATTCTGAACTACATTTTTTTATACTTACTTGTATGACAACGTTGCTCTGGGTAGAATACTGGCACGAAGTCCGTGCCTGTCCCAATGAAATAGTAGAACATATGTTCGCAGCACAGAAATCAGTCTTATTTTGTATATCTTTAATATTTGCTGAATTGCTTAGCAGTTATGTTGCATTCAGATTTATGACTGAAATATGGAACACTTTTCTTCCTTTCAAACGAACGTCAGTAGGTTGTTCTAAAACGTTTGATAAGGTAAGTCCAGTAGTTATTTACAGCGACATGCAATTTATTTTTCATAGTTTAAAAGTGCTTCCTAGTGAGAAAAATATTATCGGAATTTTTTATATAATTTCTCAGTGGTCTAGAAAAGTTTTAGAATTTTCTCAAAAGTTTCATATATTATTCTTAATATTTAAGCTGAATTTTATAAATATTTAGGCAAAAAATAAGAAAACACCCTTTACTATCTCAGAATATTATTTCTTTAGATCAGTGTCTTTGAAGACATTTAAAACATTTATATAGGATTTCAAATTTTTTTTGTCGCAGGCTTTGTTTAAAGAACCGTAAGTTTCTAAATATGTTTAAAAAAAATTACAAAGTCTAAAACAATTTATTACATCTTTTGTCAGAATTCTTCGTACTAATATATAGTGAGTTCTAAGAAATTTATGTAGCATTACGACAAAATATTTCACCAAAATTATTCTTAAGTAATATTTTTTTTTAATAAGGTATATGTCAAACATAATATATAATATATGTGTGCACAACAATTTTGATATTAATTTTGATATAAATGATGATTAATTTATCACATCACATTATACGCGATGTGCAATCACTCTATATATAAGTACGATTCGAGGTAATTTTAATGTTTATTTGATAAATATAATAATTTTTAGGATCTTGTACTATCCGCATTTATTTGCGAATTGCTCTTAACTATCGCTAGTAGACTATCAATTTATTGCGTAATACCTTTAAAGAGATATATAGGAGATATAAAACAGGAATTTTTGCTTATTTTTGTGATATCGTTGTATAGGACTATAGGTTAGTAAATGTCCTAATATTTCTTTATGACATGTAATATACTTTTATTGTTTATTTTCCACAAATAACATGCATTTCAGGATTCTCTCTTTACGCCAGTTTCAACAATCCAGTGTTAGGAGCTTGTGTGAGATACGGTTGTCCAAAAATTGATCTCTTTCAAAATGTACTTGTTTATTGGATTGCGCCGATTTGCGGATCTGTTTACTCCATGTATATATTACAATGGTGCAGAACGTTTATTAATTATTTGCGAATTAGATCATGTGAACAAACGCCCCCGCCTGATAACAAATTTTTTGCACTTTTCGATAATGATATTCCGATAGACATATTCGCCCATGCATAAGATTATTTATTTTATTTATTCATTATATTTATTCCTACTATTTATTTTTATTAAATTTATTATTATTATTATATATTTATCATATAAGAGAAAAATATATTATAATATATAAATATGATATTAAAAATATCATATTATAATATATTAAATCATATTATAATAATTTTAATATTATAATACATATAATACATAATAATACATGACATATTATAATTAAATTAAATTATTATAATTAAATTATATTAAATATTATAATTAAATTAAATTAATTTATAATTCTTATTATTAGGTGTACAAATGAATAATCCAAATTATTTTAAGCAGTTGTGAAATCAATTTTAAATTGAATAGATTTTACCGCTCTTTTGTGATTATGCAATGTTAACATAGTTGTATAGCTATTAAGAAGAACATATAGTTTGGCGAAAGGCCCAACATAACCTTCAAAAGTATTCAGTTCAATACAGTCGAAAATGGCAACAGATAAGTTGCATATCCGATACTGCATTCCTTACGAATTCCAACAAGGAAAAAATGCTGCAAGAGCGTGCGAATCGATTTGTTCCTTTCTCAGTGAAGATGTTGTATCGTACGATGTGTGCACATTTTGGTTTAAGCGGTTTAAAAACGGTAATTTCAGTCTAATCGACAAACAACGCCCTGGAGGCCCTCCGAAGTGCGATAATGATGATTTGGAACAACTGCTCGCTGAGAATTCGACACAAACACAAAAAGAGCTTGCAGAACAGTTGGGAGTAACGCAGCAAACGATTTCCAAACGCCTACATGAGATGGGAAAGATCCAGAAAGAAGGAAAATGGTTTCCGCATGAACTCACTGAAACCAACAAAAATCAACGAATGACAGCGTGTCTTTCTCTTCTCAATAAGCAGCGTCGAAAGTCTTTCTTGTGGAAAATCGTTACGGGTGATGAGAAATGGAAATACTCTATGACAATCCGAAACACAGAAAGTCATGGGTAAATCCCGGCGAATCATCAAAATCGGTCGCAAAACCCAATCGCTTCGGAAAGAAGGTTCTTCTCTGCATTTGGTGGGATATCAAAGGCGTGCTTTATTATGAGTTGTTGGAACCGGGTGAAACAGTTACTGCGGACTGCTATCAACGTGTCAATTAATCTACTTGAGTCAAGAATTGGAACGAAAACGCCCGTATACTGGCAAAGGAGAACGTCCAGTGAAATTGTTGCATGACAACGCCAGGCCACACATTGCTTCCAACACAAAAGACACCATAATGAGTCTTGGCTGGGACGTCTTGCAGCACGGCCGGCGTATTCACCAGACATTGCTCTATTCAATTATCACTTGTTCCGGTCGATGCAACACGCCTTGTCCGATATGCACTTCCAATCAGTGGATGAGATCCGAAAATGGCTTGACGACTTTATCGTGTCCAAAGACGTAACATTTTTCCGAGATGGAATTCATCAGCTGCCTGAAAGATGGCTTAAAGTTATAGAAAGCAACGGCGAATACTTTGATTGAACAATTTAATTTACTTTCTTTTAAAATAAACCTTGAATGTAGCTGAAACAATTGGATTATTCATTTGTACACCTAATATTTATTATCTTATTTTAGATTGTTCATTTAGCGTTGTTCATTAGCGTTAATCATTACTATCACTACTAATTCTTTCACTTTTATATTATTTTAATTTATGCTTCATGCTAATAATACATGTAATACGTGTTATCTTATCCTAATAAATTGTTTTATATATTGGGGACTTGAATAAGTTCTCGCTCTTTCCCGACAGATAGTGTTATCTTAACCTTTTTGCATCGGGCAATACTACAGCCAACATCATCGTGAAGCTCCACCATTAGGCTCGAAGTGACAGTATATGTTATTCCGCCGAAGCGTAAACAACATATTTTTTCATAGCGTTAAACATGTCGAATTTCGTACCAAAAAAAGAATATTTGCAGGAAATTTTACTGCATTACCTTTTTCAGAAAAAATCTGCAGCTGAAGCACATAGAATTCTTGTGGAGACTTACGACGACCATGCTCTGTCGGAAACAACATGCAGAGATTGGTTTAGACGCTTTAAAAATAATGATTTTGATGTTGAAGATAAAGAAGGCTCTGGCGCACCGAAAAAAGTTTGAAGACGAAGAATTGGAAGCATTACCCGATGAAGACCCATGTCAGACGCAAAATGAACTTGCAGAATCATTAGGAGTTGATCACACAACAGTTGCCAAACGTTTAAAAACATTAGGAATGATTCAAAAGCAAGGAAATTAGGTGCCGTACGAATTGAAGCTGAGAGACGTTTCACGTGTGAACAGCTGCTCCAACAGCAGAAAAAGAAAGGGTTTTGCATCGTATCGTGACTGGCGATGAAAAGTGGGATACACTACGATAACCCGAAGCGTAGAAAATCGTGGGGTAAGCCCGGTCATGCATCAACATCGACGGCAAAACCGAATATCCATGGTTCCAAGCTCATGCTCTGTATTTGGTGGGATCTGCTGGGTGTAGTATATTATGAGCTCCTTAAACCCAACGAAACCATCACGGGAGACCACTATCGACTACAATTGATGCGTTTGAGCCGAGCATTGAAGAAAAAACGGCCGCAATACGAGGAGCGACACGACAAAGTAATTTTGCAGCATGACAACGCTCGACCACATGTTGCAAAACCGGTCAAAATCTACTTGGAAACGCTCAAATGTGAAGTCCTACCCCACCCGACGTATTCACCGGACATTGCTCCTTCCGATTACCACTTGTTCCGATCGATGACTCATGGCCTAGCTGAGCAGCATTTCCATTCTTATGAAGATGCCAAAAAATGGGTCGATTCGTGGATAACCTCAAAAGATGAGTCGTTCTTTCGACATGGTATTCGTATTCGTATGCTGCCAGAAAGATGGAAGAAAGTAGTGGCTAGCGATGGACAATACTTTCAATGACATGTTCTTTACTAATTTTTTTTTAAATAAAGCATTCATTTTCACGAAAAAATAGCGAGAACTTATTCAAGTCCCCAATATGTGTATATATTGTTCTTATAAATTATATTAATGATATTTCAATACGTTATTTTCCTGGTCTAAAAAGCTATATTCCAAAAGATATGATCTCTCGACATTTTGAGTATTTTCAGAGTATTTCCAACGACTCATAGTTGAGGTCTCAACGATGTCCAGAAAAGTATCGTATCGAATCTCGTTCGGTAGACCGCTCTCGTCCGCTTAGGTCAATGCCACCTGTGTTTACACGAAATGGGAGAGAAAGAGATGACACGAAATGGGAGAGAAAGAGATGCCAACAGTAGCTCTGCACTACGCAGCCCGGACCTGCCTCACTATCCAACGGCTTGTCCGCGCGCGGATCGTTCATCGTGCGCACGAACAAGGCGATGCGCAGTCGCATGAAACACGTGTTCGAACATGTGCTTGACCATGCGGTCGATCGCATTCGCTTAAATCTCGTGATCTGCATTTCTGGAACGCGCGGAGCCACGACAACGCAGATTTCACGAATATTTCGCCTCTAATTTTGTTTCTACTTGCAAATATTTGACCGTGTACAGTGATTAGGTTCATATAGGAATAGGAGATTTATCCATTTTATAAAAATATTAAGGTTTCCTTGTATCTAGAGTTTTTATTTTATTCATAAGTTATTTATTTTATTCATAAGAGTTTTTATTTTATTCATAAAAGGAGAGAACATCTCTATTCAAAAATGTCTTCAAAAATATCAGTAATAAAGTATCAGTACAATATACAATTAAGAAATTTAAATGTTCGCATCAGTACATTAATACACTTACATAATAACTGTAGTCCTTTGCGAATGGTTCCGCGATGCGAGCAGCGTTTCAGTTGCAATCAATAATCGTCGACGATGACCGACGCAGGATGAGTGAAAAGCCGATCGTCGGTAGGCGGCAAACTGACGCGGTGACGAGCAACGTGTTAACAAACGAGAAGCATACGCTGATGGAAATGTTGTGTTCGTTACACATAGAATTCCGACTTGGATGACAAGTCGTATTCTATTACCTCGTTCTTGTACATCTCGATACTCTGCAACACGAGAGAAAAGCAAATGGAAACGCCATCAGGAAATCAGTAGTTTGCAGTAACAAAATTCTCCTGAAATCGGTTCAACAAAATCGCAAATTTCACTTTGTTAACGAAAGTGTCTGACAAAAGAAGAATCGCTGAAATTTCAAGTGCAGTTTCACTTTGTTTCACCAATGAACGCCATTCACCTCTTCATGTTTTTCCTTGTCTTTTGTCATCGAACAATCGTTAGTTTTATCATTCATTCGTGCCGTAAAGATTCCTCCTTGTGTCTATCGGCTCCCGCCTTGCCCTTTTCTCATTCAAAAGACTCAGCTAATCTTTGAGTGTGCAAAACAGCACTCACCCCGTCGATATCCTTGTTCAAGTCCTCGACTTGCTTCTCATGCGTGACCTTGAGCTTCTCCTTTTCGCGACCCTGCTTGATCTGCACGGTCTTCCTCTCCTCCATGAATTTCTTCGTGTTCTGCTGCTTCTTCTCGCGCAGTCGCCGGTCCTTGTCGCCCTTGGTCTTCAAAGTCTTGTCGTTCATCACCTCCTTGGCCGTCTCCACAGACGCTTTCGCCTGATTGGTATTCATGTCCTTAATGTCCCTGCAACGTGATTTTGCGTGAGTTACGTGGCGAGAAGGAAATTGGAATTTACGTCGTTACGCGAGTCGATCGCAGTGGCGGATCGCAGCCCGAATAAAGTTACGGCAGCTGAACGAACTTGTCGTGCTTCGCCTGCATCTGCTTCATCTGCGTCGCTTGCACAACCTCGATCAACCTCTTTAGTTCGTCGCGCGAGCTCTGCGTTTGATTCTTCAGCAATTCCCACTCCTCCTTCCTCTGCCTTTCCATCATAGCGGACCATTGTGCCGTCTGCTCGCTTATAACTTTCTTTACGTTGGCGTCTTGCAGCAGAGAGCTCTTGCTGAAAGTGTGAAAAGTGCAAAATCTCGCGGACCCCTCGC